AGGCGGAGAAGCAGCTACCGACGTCCAAGTAGGGTGGCACCGGTGACAAGAAGGGGAAGAAGAAGGCGAAGAAAAGCGTGGAGACCTATAAAATCTACATCTTCAAGGTGCTCAAGCAGGTGCATCCAGACATAGGAATCTCCTCCAAGGCCATGTCCATCATGAATTCCTTCGTCAACGACATTTTCGAGAAGCTCGAGCAGGAGGCCGCGAGGCTTGCCAGGTACAACAAGAAGCCCACAATCACCTCCCGCGAGATCCAGACCTCTGTTCGTCTCGTCCTCCCCGGCGAGCTTGCCAAGCACGCCGTCTCCGAGGGCACCAAGGCCGTCACCAAGTTCACCTCCTCCTAAATTGTTAGCCCTTTTCCTTTCGGTTTGTAATTGTCAACAATGTGGTACTATGCTTGGTTCCAAATCAAGATTTGTTACTAGTATAACAAGATCGGTGCAGTTTGAGATGCAATTTGATCACAAAATGAGATGTGGAGAATCTGTGGTTGTGAATTTTGTTGTTGCATTCAGTTGTGGGTGTCGTCTTCGTCTTGGTCTCCGGCGATGTCGTCCGGGTTGAGGAATTCCTCCGGGACGTTGCCGGGGAGGTCGGAGCCGTAGACATGGCCCATCTTGGTGCGCTTCGTCTCGAGGTACCTCTGGTTCTCCTTGGTGATGGGGGAGATCACCGGAACCCTGCCGACGACGGCGAGCCCGTAGCCCTTGAGCCCGACGAACTTTGCCGGGTTGTTCGTCATCAGCCGCATCGTGCGCACCCCCATGTCCCGCAGAATCTGAAATGGGATCAAAATCATCAAAATGCAAATGCAAATGCAAAATTGAATTCAGAATGCGCCATGGTTGATGTCGGTGCACTACCTGGGCGCCGATGCCGTACTCGCGGGAGTCGACGGCGAGGCCGAGCTCGACGTTGGCCTGGACGGTGTCGTGGCCGTCGTCCTGGAGGTTGTAGGCGCGGAGCTTCTGGCCGAGGCCGATGCCGCGGCCCTCGTGGCCGCGGAGGTAGACGAGGACGCCGCGGCCGGCCTTGTCGATGAGCTGCATCGCCAGGTCCAGCTGGTTGCCGCAGTCGCAGCGGGCGGAGCCGAGGATGTCGCCGGTCAGGCACTCGGAATGGACCCTCACCAAGACGTCCTCGCCGTCGCCGATGTCGCCCTGCGGATCAGCCACAAAATTTTTGCATTTGCTGAAATGAGCGATGAACTGATCGATCATTCTGCTGCCCAATTGTTATTTCTAACCCATTATCTAACAAAAAAAATTGTTATTTCTAACACATCAAACAAGAACAGAACTTGCAGAAAATTTGCTGAAATAAACGATGAAACGATGGAGTATTCTGCCAATTTGTTATTTCTGACAAATCGAACAAGGACAGAATTTGTATTTTTCTGCCCAATTTCTAGTCCAGGAGAAGAAGGGAAAAGAGCAGGAATTTGCAGAAAATTTTACTGAAATGAGCGATGACTTGATGAGTTAATCTGCTCTTCTGACACATCAAACAAGAACATAATTTGCATTTTCTGCCCAATTTCAAGTCCCAGGAGAAGGGAAAAGAGCATAATGTATATCACCTTTGCAACAGCAATGTGCTCGGTTCCATCAAGCTTGGATTGGTAGCAGTAAGCTCGGAAAAGGCCCCATTTCGTCGGCAAACGAGATACAGCAATCAGTTCCACCAGCTTCTCCCTCTTCCTTCTATACCTGAATCAGACCAAAAGAATGAGATGAGATTTCACAAAAGATGTTTGCATATCTGAAAAATCCTAACATATACTGTCCTAGTTCCATGACCAATGGCATCTCATTTCTGGTTCGAGCATCTTAGCTTCAAATTCACACGGTTATTTTCCATGATTAAAAATACCTAGTTCCTCCTAGGTAATTCCCATTTTTCTTATTTCAGGTTCCACCTTGGAGAGTAGTTTCAGCAGTGCATTCTAAAGAAGAACAATTCTGGCTATGAAGTTTCACCGAAAGAAAGAAGAAAACAAGCTATAAGTTCACAAAGGGTTCACCTTAAGGTATACTAACCGGATGAGATCAGCGATTGAAACAATTGGGATATCATGCTCCAAAGCCATCTGTTTCAGCACTGGCATTCCTGCCATTGAACCATCCACTGGGTTGATGACGGTTGACAGGACAGACACAGGGCGCAAGCCAGCCAACGCGACAAGATCGACGGATGCCTCAGTATGTCCAGCTCTTTTTAGCACACCACCGTTTCGGTATTTTAGAGGGAATATATGGCCTGGTCTTCTGAGGTCAGTTGGCTTAGAATCAGGGGAGGCTAGAGTAAAAATCGTTTTTGCCCTATCTGCAGCCGAGACGCCGGTTGATATGCCCACTCTGGCATCCTGGACAGATTGTAAACAGTGCTTGAGTTAGTGTCACAACTGAGGACCATGAATCAGTTTGGATCCTGGATGGATCATTTGGTGTCTGCAAAATCTACTAAACAACAAATATTTACCACTGTTACTGTGGAAGCAGCAGCTGAAATATCCTCAATTTCTGCAATTGGAGACATCATAGGAATCATCAATCTTGTTAAGTCCTCTTCCTTCATGCCCACTGAGATGATCCCAGAACCATTCCTGATCATGAATGCAATAGATTCTGGGTCTGCCAGCGTAGCTGCCATGACAAGATCCCCTTCATTATCACCGCTTTCATCATCTACAGCAATAACAAACTGGAGAAGAATGAATAGTTAACTTTGTAGCTAAATTTAACTACACAAGGGAAACAATAATAATGTGACTGTACAACAGTACAAATGAAACAACAATAATGCATATGCATGGGTACTGTCCTGAATTTTGAAGTGTGTAGAGCCTTGCTAGTTGCTACACGAAAATTTGAGTATTACAGTATTTCTATTCAGCTTATCATTTTGAATGAAAATGTGGATGAAAATTGAAACAGCATTATAAGGACAGCAATATGGTTTGCTATTGCATAAATGCACTACAGCTTGGTTTCACCTCACCAAGCAAAGAATATTGTGATGGAAGGCTGGATTGCTGGAAGAAACTAATGTCACTGTGCATGTATTTGGAGTATTATTGTGCATGTAGAATGGCCTTAACTTTGGTCTTGACCATACATGGTCCATGTCCAAGAAGTACATGAGTGGAACTATTTTGTCTTAAACTAGGCTGAGATTGGTAAGTGAAAAGAGAAGTACTGAGTACACAGATGAAAGGTTAAAGACGTGAATAGATATTACATACCTTTCCTTCATGCAATGCGCCTATAGCCTCATCAATAGAGGAAAAACCATCAGTTGGTTTGTCTGGGTCACCCTCTGCATCGCTAACAAAGAAATCACCAGTTTCCTGAGTGATTTTAGCACCAACAGTCCGAAAGGAAGCACTAGATCCATTGAATCCTTGCAAAACAGGTCCATTATTGCTTTCCTTTAAAGGATCATTCAAATTCTCTCCTCCCCCAAGTCCACCAATTGCATAACATCTCAATTTTAAGCTCCCCTTTCTGATAACAGCAAATCCTATGCTGTTGATACCACCGCTTCCTTGTTGAACCCTGAAAGATCAGAATAACCAGAAAATTACAGAGAAGATATGAAATTTTATGATCCCAGAAAATTTCAACAAGACCTTTTGCATAGACAAAACAAAGCGGGAGAATCATACCTTGTGTTAACAACCGTTTGTGATGACAATTGAGAGCTCAGAAGAACACGGTCCATTTGGTGATCCCGGTAAAACCGATCCACGCTCCTCAGGCTTGTCCTCCGAGATATTGCTTATATACCTTTATCTTCTAAAGTGTCACAACACCTCTCAGCCTATCATTTGGAGTTATCTGCTCATGAGGATAACACAGGGAAAATCCAACAATGTGGAGGCAAAAGCAGCCACATATTCCTGAGCTGCAAGATAGCAGCTGCCGAACCGGCACATCACACACTTTCAGGAGATGCCAAGATAATGGCATTTGATTGTACTCTTAGACTCCAGTCAAATGCAACTGAAGTTGGACCTGATAATGACAGGCAGGTTCATCTTTCATTCTTTTTTGGATGATTTATGCCCCCCATAATGACACTTGGAGGCCAATGGCTCAATGCCCATATGATGATCTCAAGAAGTTATTAGGGACTTGAGAATTTCTCCAGATTAAGCCATTTTCTGAGGCAACAGAAGATCACCAGATTGCCAAATGAGTACTCAAAACTTTCAGAGGCACACAGCGAGAGAGCCAAGCGTCCCATCGCTCTGAAACTTGCATAGTGTGTCGTCCTAGTACTACTTCCCCTAAGAAATGCAGGTAAGCGAGGTCGCGCCCCGCCGCACCTGCCGATGCCGGGGGGCGCGGTGGCCGTGCGCTGAGCCAGCCGCGGGCGTCGACTCTCCGAGGGCGGCGGAGAGAGCGCGGCACCGGCGATGGCCGCCGCGCCATGGGTGGAGAAGGCAGCCTAGGCGCCACGGCGACGCCACGCCGCAGCATCTCCGGTGGGGGGAAGAGGTGGATTTCGCCATTTTGGCCTTTTTGGGAGAGAAGGCTCTGCTTGATGATGCTTCGATGATGGATGGGGAAATCAAAAGGGGACCAACAAGGATTATCGCAAATTCTGTGATATCATACGAGATAACGACTCACCAGATGAACCTTTGATTCTGTACATGAGTTAGACTGGAAACCTTTTTTTTTTCTTTTTGGCAAAATGTGCTAAAACTTGCTTCCTCTGTTTCATAGGATAAGACTTTCTAGTATTGCCTACATTCATTTAGATGTTAATGAATCTAGACATATGTATGTGTTTAGATTTATTAACATCTATATGTATGTGGGCAATGCTAGAAAGTCTTACATTGTGAAACAGAGAGAGTAAGTAGTACTCCGTTTCATCGGATGCTTTGAACTTTTTCTAAGTCACTTCTTTTACTTTGATCTGAGTTTATAGAAAAACTAATTTGAGGTAGTAGATTCTAACACATACTAACACTGCCATCATATTAGAGGGTGAAACTCCACTCTGACAACGATTAGTGAACATGGATTTGTAACAGACATTGATCGCTAACAGAATTATCATATAGAACAAGTATCTTGCATAATGTTATTCATGTTCTAAAGATCAAAAGAACCTCTCAACAACATAAAATAAAGCTAGAGAACGCTCTGGTTTGTCATAAGCCTTCTGCTCCGGAGTTCTGGCTGATTTTAGGACCTGCCCATTGTTTGCTGGCGAGTGACTTGGTCCATGGATCAAGAGGGACCCGCTGAGGTGGCTGTGGTGTTGCAGGTTTTGCCTCTCGAAGTTCATTCTCCCGGTCGACAAACCTGTGTATGATGACATGGCCAATTGAATCTCATCAGTCATCATGACAGTTTCCTGATTGAAGTTGGTTCTTTTACAGTTTACTAGTTAAAAAACAAGATGAAGAAAACAAAAATTCATTTCAGAGAGTAGCAGTGTAGCACCACTTTCTAAACATGAACACCACAAAAAGTAAACCAGTGTATCGATATGAACTTGAAGTCGATAAACGGATTTATTAGAAAGAAAACACAAAAAGGGATGCTTGCCTTCTGCAATTCTTGATTTAGTGAAAGAAACGGATGATTTTTTTTTTGAATGCCTGAAACGGATGAATAGAATAGAACATGAAGGGTACTTGTCTGTTAGTCCAATAGTTACAACTTTGAAATGAATATGAAGAAAACGAATTGCATCAGACCAGAACACTTGCAACAAACAGCAATGAGAAATTCAAATGTAAATTTTGAATTTTCCTAGTTATGGTAAACAAGGAAAAGACATACTCAATGTATGCCATTGGTGCAGCATCGCCAACCCGTATCCTAGTCCGCAGTAGTCTTGTATATCCACCAGCTCGATCTCTACAAACAAAGGAAACATAATGGACATGCATAAGGTAAATCTTGACAGCCAAGTTCCTTTAGACATGCTAGCCAGAACAAAAATCAAAATCAAAAGTGAAACCAACTCATAGCGGGCTAAAAGTTACTTGTAGCGGTAGGCGAGTTCTGTGAATAACTTGTGAACAACATTGTCACCCCGAACAAAGGCTGAGGCACGTCTTGCTGCATCAAGCGTACCCTATAGAATAATAGAACTTTCTAATGTTAACATAGGAACGGCTTTGACAGTAAGAACATTAAGAGATTAATATATCTGGCAAGGACATTTAGCTCATGATGCTCTAGACAACATAAACGATATTTCAAATCCAAGAAATTCCCCACATTAGAAATCTGTGGACTCTCTACCTCATTCTGACTGAGCACCACTTGGATAATTGGAATGTGACAAGTTAGCAACATTAAGAAAACCATTTTCCAAGATTCCTTGCTTACATGGATATAAAGTACTCGCATCGTCACAAAATCAGTTACTTTTGAAGCCTATTTTTTCTTAAGCCAAAGAATTTGAACAATATACCTCACGTTACATAGTCAGAATTTTCATCGATCTGAATCATTTACTAATGGCAGGATTACCAACAACTTGTAAGTAAGGTACAATCACTCTATATTATCCGGTGATATTTTTTTCTTTCCTTTTGTTGTGGTCAAATACATAAGGTCAAATCATGTAAGTCTGCTACCGCCTACGGCCCAGCAAAGGATGAGAATTCAGAACAAGAGTTGCACAAGAACGAGAATTTCCAGCTTGAGTTTTCATCTCGACAGAATGTATACCTCTTTGCCGAGCTGCACCATCTGATCCGCTTTCGTCCGCACCTCCTTCGCCTGAAACGTCAAGAAGCAACACACAGAAAAGAAAAAAAAAAATCAAATTTCCTGGCGCAGAAAACCTGCATTCCCACCGCTAGGTGTTCGACGAAATGCCGGAACCACGGAGAGACAGGACGCGGGCTACCTTCGCGACGGTGGTCTCGATCCGCTCATGCTTCACCAGCTGCGACACCATAGTCCTGCCCAGGGAAAGGGATAGAGAAGGGCAAAGAGAGAGATAGACGGACAGCCGTGGGTCAGGGCCATGACTTCAGCGTGGGTGCGACGAGGCGAAATGGAGACCGGGGAGATGGGGTTGGAGAGGCGGAGAAGCCAGACCTGAGCATGGAGACGCGGTGGGCGGCGTGGCGGCCCAGCTTGCGGAACTTCCCCATGGCGGCGGCGGAGGGGGGCGGCGCCGGCGGGAGAGCGGCCGCGGCGGCGAGCGATCAGACAGTACAGTGTGAAATTCACCAAGTTGCCACTTTGGTAGGCCTCGTCGCCGTTTGTGACAGAGTGCTACGTTTCATGGGCCTTTACAGGGCCCAATAATTCTAATTGGGCCATGTCCTAATGTACAGCCAACCTACTACTGCCTCTATCTCAGTTTGATCATCGTCAAAAAATTTTAAGGTATTTTTTTCAAAATAATCATCATTTAACAAAGTGTCTATTGCTTGGTTTTGCAAAGAGTAAATGTGCATCGTGGAATGCCCGGTATGCGCGCAACCAACCAAAAATAATTTCTGTTGGTTTAACCCATGCGATATTTAGAGTGTGAATTAATTTCTGTTGGACACGATCACTTTCATCGATGATGATTAATTTTAGAATGATTGATGTTTTAGTGTCATTGTTCTTGTTGTTCTTTACTTAAGGGATGATCATACTGGGATAGAGGGAGTATACTTCAGAAATTCAGATTTTGTTTGGATTGAAGCCGTTTTTCGTCCTATCAAAATTTTAGAAACTTTTTAATAGTATCAAATAAATGTTTGGTGTGCTACCAACTTTTTCTCACGCTAGTTCAAATTCTAAATTACCAAATTTGGTAATAGCACTATGACACTATCAAAATGTTAGTAGGGAAAAATTTGGCTCCGAATCAGCAATCAAGCAAGTAGCTTGCATTTCTCTCTATAAAAAAACCAAGCAGCTTTACCATTATCATATCGCGCTTAATGTTTTAGCCATTATAATCAGAATCATGAGTACATGCTTTCTCGTAAATAAATAAACAAAGAGAAATTTCAAAAAGGGATCATGTACTACTATGTATGAGCATCGAGACGGAGCTGGTTTCTTCAGGCTCGTTTCTTGGCGCCTCCCGATTTCCCCAGCTTCGACCTGCGCTGCTTGAACACATGCAGGTACAGCTTCATCCACAGAAACGGGTAGACTGCCAGCACAGCCTGCAGCATGAGGAAGGTCAGCTAGCGATCGAATTGCATTTCCATCAGCAGTGTTGCATGCTTCAGTTTCATCACATTATCTGAAAAAAATGTTTCAGTTTCATCAGACATTCACAGGCTATGGCTTGACCTACCACTAGGAAGGAATGGTAGCTCATGGAGAACTTCCCAAAGAAGCCAGAGTAGAGTTTCCTCTCCTTCACAAATGGGAGAGCTTGGTACATAGTCCACACTGCGGAGATGGCAAGAAAAGTATATTTACAGCAAAAGACTGCAAGATTAGTAGGTGTAAAGAGAGGGGAAGTTTGGTGGGTGAGAATTTTGGAATTGGCTTACTTTCTCCTGGGCCTACTCCAATTGGATACAGCGGTATAAAGGCAGTGTACCTACATGGTGCAAATAAGTAGAAAGGGTTAATTAGTCTCTGATCAGGAGAACAGCAGTCACCTGGAAAAAAGACCATAAGCAGCGCGGTAAAACTAGGGACTGGTAAGCAACAGTAGTACTGCAGTTAAACATTGTGATCCATTATTATATCATGTAAAGAAACAAAATCAACATAGCAGCGATGTACTGGCGATTTTGGAGTAGGAACAATATTAGATGAACCTGGATATAAAAATGACATGCATGGTGATTCATTTTAATATCCCAGTTAATAGTTCCAGCTCAGTGATCTTTCTGTAGCTTACTCAATACGGTTATTGTAATTTGAACAACAAGTTTGCAATTTTACAACTTCTTTTAGAAGACAGAAGGTAAAACAACCATGATACTGTGTCCATCTTTCTGCTTCCTATGCTGGTTTCAGTGCAAGGTGTCTTTAAACGGAAAATAAAAATGACCTGTGACCAAAAATATTTTTGAAGAATGGAGAATTGTGTAACTTTCTACCAAAAACAATAGAAAACAACCAGAAAATAGTGGAAAACAAGAGGTGTACTGGGCACCGAGCCTAAGAGAAGCTACTAAGAAAATACTGTGGATGCATCCTTGGATGTGGGAACTGGAGTTCATTTGCAAATCAAACCTGAGATATGTTAGCCATGGTGGACAAACTTTTAAGGTTGTCAGAGCATAATGTGAGTATCTGATGACCTGCACCATGAAGAAATTAGACTTCAGATAAAAGACTGAACAAAAATAGCATTGTCTTGCGAATTATTTCAAAATAAGGTAAGTACTGAGTACCATTGAGTTAAACCAAAATGTAGATGCCTAAATAATGCTTTTCGTTCACATGCACGGAGGTTAGTAAAAGGGTATTTTCGTGTCATAGAACTTGGAAACATATTTGTCTGTCGTGGATTTCAGTTGGTACATGCACAGACAGTTCTATTCATGCTAGCATTTCCTTAGGCAGTAGTACCAGCTCAACTTATCCTCTTAACAGCTAAACGTAGTTGTCAGATCATCCCTTTCAACACGTAATTGACATTTTAATATGAATGAAACAGGTGAAATAATATTAGCTCCATTGGCATAGATCATTGTGCAGTAAAATAGAAACAAAATATGTGCATCCTGAGAAGGTTCCACCAGAAATTTCTCGTTATATCATGAGATTGCATCATAGAAAATCATTTTTTAATGTACTCAAAAAGCATCAGTATTGTTTTTATGAGAACAAGGCAAACCACAAAAAGAGGAGAAAATGATGTAGTATCATTTTGTGCCACACCTCAGATATGCTCCAAGCCATGAACGTTATGAACACGGAAGGGCTACTCTGAACCTGCATTTGGCACAGGAGACTAAATTAGTAAACCTAAGTTGAAACCTTGAGAGGCACTACTGTAAAAAGGTAATAACAGAAAATGTATCATTGGAAATTTTATAATAAGGAAGAAATTTCCTTCTTCACTAGGTCGAAGTGCAAATTCGTTTTTGCGGTTGGCTCTTCCATTTACACATGACAAAATAAAAAACACAAATTCTACGGGATTTTCACATGAATTTGTTCAATTCCTCCAAGAATCCCGCAAAATTCATCCGTTCCAAACGAAGCAGAAATTTGCAGTCCTCCCCACCTCGGGGATTTGCCGAACCACAGCGAGAACGAAGTGAGTCCTCCCTCCCCACTGCAAGAAGGCAAGAAGCGGCGACGTGTGCACCAATCCTGAATCAAACAGCAACGAATCTCCTCGTCAAATTTCACATCAAAGAGAGCGGCGCGCGAGGAATTCAGCGGCTCAATCAACCCACCGATGGCGGCATGGATCGTTTCAAGAATCGCCCACGTCTGCAGCAAGCCTTGAAACAACAAGAAACGAATCCCCAAGAAGGGGGAAAAGAAAAACATCACTCCCTCCGCTCGTCGAGACGAGACCAAATCAAAGACATACGAGGAAGGGCACGGAGGAGGGATACACGCACATACGAGGTCGCCGGCGACGGCGTATGACGAGTGGACGGAGGAGGGAGGGGCGAGGCAGGGCAGCAGGCGGAGCAAGGCGACGAACCTGCAGAGGAGGAAGCCAAAAAGAAAAAAAAAAGAAAAAATCAGAGCGAAACGAGGGATTGGACGCACGAACGCAGCGAACTTCTCGGCTGCGGGTGGAGTACCATCCGAGGGCCTGGACGGAGTTGTAGGAGAGGAGGTAGAGCTGCGACGGGCGAGCCATGGCGGCTGCACTGCTGCAGTGTGCTTGCCGTGGCTACTGGCAATGGGATTTTCTGTGGCTGCGGTTATTTGCCGTTTGGGCTTTTCTTTTTCTTTTGTTGAAGCATATGTATCTTCTAATACACTTCCTCTATCCCTGAATATTTGACTCCGTTAATTTTTTAAAGCATGTTTAACTATTTATTCTATTCAAAAACTTTTGTAAAATATGTAAAACTATATGTATACATAAAAGTATATTTAATAATGAATCAAATGATAGGAAAAGAACTAATAATTACTTAAATTTCTTAATAAGACAAACGGTCCAACATGTTTTAAAAAGTCAACGGCGCCAAATATTTAGGGACGGAGGGAGTATAAAATAGTGATTTGTCAATGTATATATATTAAAGTTGAGTAACTTACAACCTATCATAAAAAAAACTCTTATAGATCAATGACACTATTGAGTAATAAAACAATCTTGTTGGTGCACGGTAAAATGGTGGATAGATAGGAGTAAGTCATCGGTATCGAACAATGACACTGGCTAGTATGTAGTGGGTTTTACTTAAGTTCTCAAAATAATCTATGTCTGACATCATTTATACATAAATCCTTTTAATCACAAGATTTGAAATTGACCCACTCTTAAAATAAGCATATAATGTGTCAATGTTCGTAGTTGGTAGATTTGTGAGGGACATAGTGTTCGGTAGTGGGGATTAATGGTTGTGATCGCTTCCTAAACCACAGGAAGCATAGGATTTTACACAGGTTCGGTCCTCCTAGAGAATAATAACTCAACCTTGCTAGATTATGGTGACCAGATGAATAGAGTTTGCACTGATCCTTTTGAGTACTCGAATACTATGTCTTATAAAATCTGGAACATTAGTAACCCCTTGATAGAGGTAGTGCCCTCCTTGTATCACATTGTACACGCATCATTGTTACTCCTATACTATCAAATCTACTTTTTGTTGCATGACGGCAAAGTGGAGTCACCACATAATATCTCTCACCAATCTTCTCGTCGGGTCGTTGTAAATGAGGCGTCTGCTTCTTCCTATCAAAGTAGGGTCAGAAGAGCCATGACATTGTCATGTTATGAATGGATACACACAAATTCGACAGTATTAAATGAGCGCACATCGACTGGAATGTGTACACTTAATTAGGGATAGGCAAAAAAACCGAGACCAAAAAACCAAAACCGGACCTGAAGAACCTGAAGTGTTGGTTATTGGTTTGTAGTTACATCGGGCAAGTGGAAAGACCGATCTTTTTTTGGGTAGTTCGGCCATCCTCCTCGGGTACCCGAAATGCCCGAAGACCTGAACTATGTAAAAAACCAGGGATTGTGCTACTGGCTTTGTAGCCCATCTTCAAACTGCAGCCCATCAGCCTAACTTCCCACTTTCCTCAAGATTTGTGAGGATGAGTTTGGTAATCTATTTTGAAAGGCCGAACTTTTTTAGACCCAAAAAACTAGATTGAACTCTCGATTTAGACCGAACGCACATCCCTACCCTACACTTAATACAGAATGAGGTGCAGGTGACACACCTCATCCCGTCCTAAAGCTTGGACTAGGGACCCACAAATGGTAGCCCAGTGACCTAAACCACACAGGACTACTACTGAGCAAGTCTGGGAGTGCCCGGCCTCATCTCTGGGCACACTCCAATGTGGACCATGCCGGATAAACATTGCTTATGATCAGCTTCTCGTCGTTCGACATGTTAACTTTCTTCTTTAGTAGGTGTGAATCTAGGTAAAATCATGTGCTTTATATGGTTTAGACGAGTGATTATAGTCGTAAACCCTTATTGCCGAATGTCCCGAATGTCGCGTTCCTCACACATTTCTGCCGAATGCAAAACATCAACAATATGATATACACAATCTAGTGCGTTAAGTTATGGTAGGAACCACTTCTTGACGGAATCATAGTAACTTGTACACTATTGAGACTTAAACACACAATATCATCACTGCTCAACATGTGTATAAGTGATGTGTCTATGGTATACAGGATGAGTATGTTATTTCGAAATGCAGAAGATAAAGTACAATCAGCATATACTTAAAAATATTAGAATCTATATATAAGAAACTGAAATTAGATATAGAAAATAAGAACACCATAAGCACAATGATGCAGTTTCAACCAATGTACAAATTGCTAGTGCATCTTTTTTTTTACACGGAAAATGCACAAACATATTATACTACATACTCCCTCCGTCCAAAAAAAACTCAACCTAGTACTTGGATAGGACATAATCTAATACAACGAATCTGGATATCCAGATTATGTCCTATCCAATTACTAGATTAAGTTTTTTTTAAGACGGATCGAGATCCTTGGTCCCACTTTATTTTATAACTTCCTTGGTCCCACTAGAATGGCATTGGAAACGCAACCGCGCGCACACAATCACCAAACAGAGAACACCACCCTACACGAGCAGATTAAGCAGATGGGGCTCCTGTTCCGCACGCTCAACCTCCTGATCACCTTCACCGGCCTCCTCGACCGCCGGCGGGCTGTTCAAGTCGATCATCTCCGGCGGCTCCATGCTGGACACGGCGCCGGCGCTCGCAGCCGCAGCCGCCGGCGGCGGCGTCGCCGCTGCCGCCTCGCCTCTGTGCCGCCGCATGTGCCCGCCGAGCGCCTGCCCCATGCGGAACTCGACCCCGCACACGGCGCACAGGTGCCACTGGTGGGCGGAAACCACCCGCCGCTGGTTGTTGGTAGCCCCCACGACGGCGGCCCCCGCGGCGCCGTGCTCCTGCCGCTGCCGCGCCGCCATCCGCGTGTGCCCCGTCCGGTGCCCGCCGAGCGCCTGGAACGACGTGAACGTCTTGCTGCACGTCTTGCACCTGAAATACTCCCCGCGCGCGCTCCCGCCGCCGCCCGCGACGTGCGTCGTCGGGCGGAGGCCACCGCTCCCCTCGCCGACCGCTCGTTGCCCACTCGCCATCGTCAAGCTCGTCCACCTCGCGCAAATGTACGTACTTACTTACCTTCCTCTCGCGGCGAGCCTAGCCTTAGTTTGCGCTAGCTGTGGGTGTGTGTGTGCACGCGCGCGACGCGGGAGCAGGACGCGAACTTGGTGAGTCGGTGTTCCCCCCCGGGGAGGGGAGATTAATAAGTACGCGAAGGCGGCGACGTCCCGGCTCATGTCAGAGCCGTCCACGCCGAGGCTGCGTGATGTGGCGTGCGTGCGTGCGTGCGTGCGTGCGTGCGTGCGTGCGTGCGGCATGCGTTGATGGCCGCCTGGCTGGGGGCACTGGCCGGCGCCGCGGTTTCACATCGGCCGCGAGCCCACGAGATGAACATCCTGACGTCGATCGGGCATGGAAGCGTCGGGCTGCAGCAGCTACGAGACCACCAACATGTGTGTCCCTTTTTACCAAGAGTACGATTGGACGCACACGTTGTCCCATGATATCATGTACACGTGTGCGCGTCTAATATACATTCTTACAAGACGAAATTTATTAGTTCTCCAGTTTCCTTATATGCCATTGAGAATGGACTTTTCTCTTACGTGACATTAGGCGAAACTTTGCTATCCTTATATGCCATTACCGTCAATCTTGCATCAACGGTCCGTTAGATGAACAGTAAAAAGACCAAAATATCCTTGTTTATCTCTTTCCACTAAGTCTCAAATTATCCGAAAATAACTATCGGAACAAGGACATAGATCTGATGTTGTAGCCTATAGGTCTAGGCATGCACTTACCTTTCTAGCTAAGAGGATAGTAGTCGCGCAAGAATGATAGTTGGCGCTTGCCAGGACAACTTAAAGAGAGGAAGAATGACAAGGCCATGAGAGTAGGATCGACATTTCTGAGAAAACCTTGACATGATCCGAGGAACTAACGGCGAGTTCACGTGCAGGGGCTAACGGTAGTGGCATATTAGGTGTAGCAAAATTTTGTCCAATAGCAATAAAGCAAAGAGTCAATTTTGAATGGCAAATAAAGAAACCGGATAATTTTAAGGCAAAATTGATTATATAGTATCGAAAGTTCACGTTTTTGGTTTTATAGCACCGAAAGTTACCGGTTCACTTTAATAGCATCCAAAGTTCACCATCTTCCTATTTTTAGCACTTCCGTCAATTTTTCCGTCCGTCTTGATCGTTATTGATCCAGTCACACACATGATATGACATTTATACCCCTCATTGACATGCATTATACTTGTACTTGTGAGGGGTAGAAACGTCATATCGTGTGTGTGGCTGGATCAAGACGGACGGAAAACGATCGAGAATTGACGGAAGTGTTAAAAATGGGAATTACATGGTGAACATTGGGTGCTATTAAAGTGAACCGGTAACTTTCAGTGCTATAAAACCAAAAACGTGAACTTTCGATGCTATATAACCAATTTTGCGTAATTTTAAATGGCAAATAAAGAATTCTCTCTCTCTCAAAAAAGGAAAATTGTCGGTGGCATTGCCGGGACGCATACACCAATCTACTTACTTTACCACGTATGTTTATCTTCTATTCATATTTGGAATATTTTCAGTGGCGTTACCTTTACGCATAGTGTAACAACAACTTTATACAAGGGGACTTTATATATGAGTATTATTCATAAACTACTTTTTTTGTGAAACATAAATTGATCGATATAAATGTGTCTTTTGTGTGAAGAAAGTAACATCATATCATTTCCTAACAAAACCATTCGTATGACGTGATAAAAATAGATAATACAAATCGCATTATTTGAGATAAAAATAGTTAATACAAATCGCATTATTTGAGAGACGCATTGTAAGTTGGCAACACCATGGTTACCTCACGGTTACTGCAATAATCTCGTACAGTAACCATCTCTATTTTTTAAAACCTCACGGCTTTTCTCGATAACCATATAGGTTTTGTTAAGTAACCACGATACCATCATGTCAGTAACTCCTACCAAGGCTACCTCACAATTACCGCAATGATCTCGTACAGCAAACATCTCAGTTTTTTTAAACCTCACGGCTAACCACCCTACCAAAATGGTGAGGAAACCCTATCTACCGCTGCATGGTTTTGAGTCTGTAACCCCTACCAAAATGGTGGCCTGGTGGGGGAAACCTTTGCTACAGCTGCATGATTTGAACTTTGAAGTGGCGCGTCTTTACGTATAGCCGCAGCCAGATTTCAGATGGGATTTTCTTGGATGCCTTCTGTGGTCAAGGTTCTGACTATAGGCAGTATATATGGCCAATTTATTAAAAGCTTGAAGCCAAGTCATAATCCTTCTTAGCCAATTACACTCTTTTTTAGTGGAACTAAAATTTCATTAACAAATTTCCCAGCACTCCAGTGCACCGTCTTTCACTCTTTCCCAACTGAGGTACATTATTGCTGTTCCTCCATCAAGCAGAACCCATATTGCATTAATAAATCCTTCAACTCAGAAAGGGTGGATGGTTTTTGGTGTTGCATCCTCGTCAATCTTCCTTGATACGCGGTTTACATGGTTATGATTTGGAAAAAAAATAAACGACATGAATTAATTGGCATTTGCATGTACTATATTGAGAAGGCATGTGAGATCAGCACATAAAAATAAAATTCAGGAATCACATTTTGTGTTTTGTTAATTCAATATACCAAAAGCGAGTTAAAGAAAGACATTCATCTCCATAAGCAATATATTGATCCACTGCACAACAACATATATATAAATCTACAAAACAAAGAACAATCAAAATTGAAACAATCACCGTTCACAATCTTGTTTGTGCAGTTTTTTAAATACTCGCAAAACTGAACCAGATAGTGTCAATGAAGGGAACGTGCCACTCTACACGCAAATGGATTCAGATATTCTGTTCCGTCGTTTCTATTGCAATGAACGTATCAGTCCTAGAGATGTAACAACGGGATGCTACTCCATCTTCAGCTCCAAAAGCAGAGCACATCACATAAGAAGAGATTTGGTCAAGTGCTCTCTTGCTGTTGTTAGGGCTTGAACTATAGTCTGCATTCAGAGAGCAATAACTCGTTATGTTTGGTTAAACCGAACAGCTTCCTTTAGTAAGATCATGGCTAAAACTTACCTGCTCAGCGAGTGAAGTAGCACCTTCTATTCCATGTGCTGACACCTTTTCAGCTATCACACTTCCTTCTGTTTCCAGGACAATCCTGTATAATCATTCAGATCAAGTACTATTGAGCTTATTACAGTTTGCAGTACCACACATCAGGAGACTGGCAAAAACTTTTTGAAACACTTTGAAATATTAAAATATTAATAGACTATCAGATTGACAGGCATATATGTTCATGGCCTAATCAAAAGTTTGCCACCTCAATATCATTCCCATTTATTGTCTAATTTATCAAATTTTGCCACCTCAAACTAGGATTGTTCAAGGTACAGAATTTTGATTCTTAACAAAGTAAATGTGCTAAGAGAATTCATTTGTCCTCCAATCAAAAATATACATGTTCATTACTAGAGCAGACAACCGATTATAAAGCGTGCCATGAAAGCCAAACATACAAACGAAAGGAATAAGAACATTTGACATCCAGTGAGACTAGGATTTACCCTCCATCAACAATTTCATCGAGGCACAATAGGATGAGATCCAGATTTTCGAGTGCTGTTCTTTTGTCGACGTTATTTCTGAAACCGATGACACGGGAAACAGAATACATGCAATCAGGTAGGGACATAAATGTAAAACAAAATAAAAGGTAGAAAAACAAAGATACATTAAATAGGTTGAGTATAACCTGAGAATAATGTCAACTGCATCAGTGAATCCTTGAAGGACCGATGCTAAAATAAGCTCATTCTCCTCCTCTCCTCCAGTAACAAAAAAATGGAGGTCTTGGATGAACTTATACACCACAATGTGGCCATCAAACATTACAATCTCAGCTGAAAGGGGGAAACATATACATAAAGTGAATTACTTGAACTAGACATACGGTATGTAATTTTTCACTCACAAGTCACAAATAAGACGCTGTCAATACTACTTGTTATAAGGAAAACTAATGCAAATACATCTCTCCAAGCTCATAATAATTGGTTGATATCGTGTAACATAGTACAACTTTAACTAAGCGAAAGCTGAAAAAATCGTATTATGTTTGGGTGTGCTTCAGTACACCTCTTTTAGAAAAAGTCTATGAACTCTAAAAGCAAATTAACTAATATTAGGTTGGGGCAAATCACATTAACCTAACATGAAATCAAATCAAATTGCGTTTTACGTGATGGAATGTATTTGTCTGACCGCATATTTTAGCAACTTCTCTTTTAAGATTCACAAACTCTTCTAAGAAGTCCTATAGAAAAACAAAAAAAAGAGGTGCATGGTTAGCACCTTTGAAAGACTGATCAGAAATTATGCTTGATATCAAGATACCTAGAATACACAGCCCCTTATTCACATCAACACGTTTCATTTATGTAATAAAAATAAACAGACAAGTGTAAACATAGGCAATTAGGCACGGTATGCAGATAACTTGCGTTCTTGGACATCATAAAGAGTTGTCTAAATGCATATGGAAAAGATGCAACTAGATTATACAAATGCTTCAAAAAAATTACGGTTTGAGACAAGCAGTACTATGCATACATTGGGATACTAGGAGATAGTACTAATCATCAGATACAAGTCATCTTCTAAGTTGTCACTCACTATCACAAGCCGAAAGGGGGGGCAGATGCGCATTACCTTCTGCTCCGGCAGTGGCTTTCTGGGTCTTGACGAACACCGACTTCTCGAAGGCCAGCTTCGCCGAGAGAGTAGGCCAATCATCCGTGTAGTACTTGACGGCGACGCGCTTCCCCTCGGAATCCAGCAGAAGGATGTTCTTCACCGAAGGGCAGGATTCCTGTACGAGCAAACCATCAAAGCAACGCCATCAACTAACTAACAACAAACGAGATCCCGATTTGCACCTGCCGTGAAAACCAAGAAACGGGGAGCCCAGCCTCCCAAACCCAAACAGAGAGCACACACACGCCCCGTACGACGGCGCCGGCGGACTCGAAACCGGGGACGAACGCGACGGATCGGGGCGAATCAAGAAACCGGAAACACCAACACATGTAGCGGCACGCGCGATGGAATCGGGAGAGGAGGAGGAGGAGAGCCGGGGGGGGCAGGGACGCGTACCATCTGGAGCGGCAAGGTGGATCCACGGGGCGGGAGGCGAGACGGCGGAGCGGATCCCCGGCGGCGGGTGAGGGGAGAAGGTGCGGACCAACGAAGGAAGCCGAGGCGAGCCGACGAGTCGAGGTGGACGAAGAGCACAGCTACTAGTCTTCATTCGTTGTTGGGCTTCACGGATCCGCCGAGGTGGGAATTGGGCCGGATTATCACGATTTCAAGCCCATTCTTCTTATCCCGTATGAGAGTGACGGAGACTGAGAGACGAGGTTGAGTTCGACACTTCGGGCATGTTTAGTACAGCTCTAGTCTAAACCTCAGTCAAACAGTTTTAACTTTATAAAAAAAAATAGAAGCGGAGCTGGGTGAAGCTCTCTCACGAAATAAAGTAGAGAAGTAGAGATGGGTTTAGACAGCTCCACAACTCCATTCCAGACTCAACTCTTGAAGTTAAATTTAGAAATTTGAGCTCTACCAATTACTAAACACACCCAGTTTCCCAACTCACTCGCTAATTTTTCGTGCGAACCTTTTTCAAAATGTTAAATGGTATATTTTTTAAAAAAAATATCTATACGAAAGTTGTTTTAAAAATTATATTGATTTATTTTTAAAAAAATAGTTAATACTTAATTAATCATGTGCTACATCGTCCACGAATATGAGTATATATGACTTCTAAGTTCTAAAACTCTCTTTATGACTGTATGGCCAACTAAACAAACTTTTTGCTTCAAACTGAAGCTGGTAGTACTGCTGGGCTGGCACAATCGCCTGGTTAGAAAACGTCGAGCAGCTATTGACCCTTAGCTTTGAGTGTTTAACACGCGGCCTCGGTGTGTCGCAGGGCGATGGATCACCACTTCATTCACTCCCACGGGAATTCACCACCAAACTCGACGACTGGTGAAGTACTAACCTTTTGAAGCCATGAATCGAAAGATCACCGGTCGGCTGCGGCGGCTGCTGCTACTTTACTTGCTCAGTTTCAGATCGAACTCACAAAACCACATGATTTAACGTGAAGCTAGTTATCAAACTGTTAACAATGCGTATCGGTAAAAAAAAAGAAAAAACTTGTATATAAAACCTTCAAATTTATAATAGTAAAAACTTGATTAATCATGTACTAATAACAGCTCGTCTCGTTTTCATGTTATGGACTAGTCAAGTCCAATTATACCTTGGAATGCAGCTTGGGTGCGTCCTTTTGATTATGGTTTTAGAGCAGCAACATATTTTAAAGAGATAAAAGAAGAGAGAGAATAGCAACGAGCTATAGATCTGTAGCTAGCTGTAGTACGGATTTTAAGACGTAATGAGTATATGACATGTGGGACCAGGTATTAGTTACTCCCTCCGTACTCATAAAGGAAGTCATTTAGGACAATGTTTAAGTCGAACCTTGGGAATAAAAAACATAAATAACTCTTAAGTTGTTGCATTGAAAATGTAAAAATTATATGAATAGATTTGTCTTGAAAAATATTTTCATAAAAGTATACATATATCACTTTTAAAAAACAAGAAGTCAAAGTTGTGTTTTGAAGACCATGTCGCTGTCCTAAACGACTTCCTTTACGAGTATGGAGGGAGTATATAGTAAGTAACTATTATATGAATTGGCTATTACATTGGCTATAGATGATTTGGAGTTGGTAGTGGGCTATACTATTAAACTTGCTCTTAGTTGATTAGCTGCACGCAAAACGAGAAATATCGGATAGTGTATAATTAATTGAGTATTAATTATTAAAAAATTTAAAAAATCTATTTAATTTTTTTTACAGAATATTCAATATATAAAGTTTTGATGCGTTTAATAGTTTGAAAAACGTGCTAATGAAAAAGGAGAAGTAGCTAAGAGCAAGGTTAATAATACAGCTAACCTGTTGGCTATAAGGTTCCTTGCAGTCTTCTCTCAGCCTACCCATATAATAGATAGCTCTTTACAATTAATATAGGGCACACTTGTCTCTCTCACAGAGTTTCTTGGTTATTGTGTCTAAGCCGGCTGTAAGTTTATAGCCCTTTTCTTATCTCTCTCCTCTCTTCTCTCCTCCATCTCGGCATTTAGCCAGAGCAAGTATAATAGTAGGCTATAAGAAGGCTGAATGCTTAGGTGGATGGGAGAAAAGAGGATAGAGATGAGAAGCGGGCTATAAGTTTACAGCCGGCTTAGGAACAGGAACCAAAAAAATCTGTGAGACAGACATATGAACCATATATTTATAGTGAAGAATTAACCACTATATTTAACCACTATATGATAGGCTATAAGTAAACAGCTTGCTGTATTATTATCCTTGCTCTAAAACCAATTTCTCGGCGACATGAAGACATCAGAGTACGAGACATCCCGTTGAAACATGAAACACAATAGTGATAGGACCAAGGTGGGTGGCGGTCCGGCTGTTATAGGACCCGGCCAAGACATGACTGAAAACTTTGGCCAGAGTCCAGACGGTTCCAGGTGTCAATGTGTCAATGCTTTTGGAAGCTGCTGATTTTCATGTTTCCGTCCCGTTTTTCTTCGGGAGATCTAGCCAGAGGGAACAGCTACCACAAAGTTAGGCGTTCTAGGATTTGTTTGTCACTCGTTTAGTCGTGTCTTCAACATTAGTCAACACCATATTGTCAGTGATCAGAAAGAAAGGGAGAGTTAAACCATCCCTATTAATTTAGTATATATACCAAGTTAGGCTGAGATTAGTTTCAAACTTCCAATTTTTCTATCCCATCAAAACTTTCCTAAACACAAACTTCCAACTTTTCTGTCACATCATTTCAATTTTAACCAAACTTCTAATTTTGACGTGAACTATGCACACCCTTATTACCAACCCAACCCAAGTAGGCTAGTAGTACACATAACGTTGACCAAGCCATTCAACATTTTTTTTAGAACAGCCAAGCAGCATGTTGAATCTATTTGCTACTCTACCTGAAGTCAAGCTGATGAGCTACTCCACTCGATATGCCACCAACCCTAGTGTGAAAAAAAAAACTGAAACAGCCGGACGCCACTCGAGCTAACGACCCGACCATGTAATCGGAGAATATAAAGGACGGCGGGATGGGCGCTCGCTCGCTGCGTCCACGTCGGATTTTGCTACAGTAGGGTGGAAATTATGCGAAAAAGCCCTCCGATTTTTCGTAATAATGTATAGGTCCCTAGTGTAACATTGCCGGCCGGGCGGCTGGCAGCAGGAAGGAGCACAAACTTGGCGATCCGACGGGGCCCGCACGTCAGCGGCCGGATCACATTAGCTCCCTATTTGCTGAGCTGCTGGAAGGCCAAAGGGCCCGCCCGGCACGGCCCGGCCCAGGAACAGCTGGGCACGGGCTAGCAGCCATCGGGCCGGCACGGCCCGATAGGCACTTCGTGCCGGGCCATGCCGGCCCATGGGCTGCACCTCCCGCCCAGGCACGGCCCACCAGCTGTCGGGCCGTGCCGTTCCGGCTCGAAGGTATGGGTGGCCCATCGGGCCTTTTTTTAAATAAGTCTATTTTTTTCCCTCCTCTTTGGGCTATATCATATGTATAGCTAAAGTAAGTCTATATTCCATCCCTCTTCTTTGGGCTGACATATGTATAGCTAAAATAAGTCTATTTTCTATCCCTCCTCTTCGGCTGACTTATGTATAGATAAAAAAAGTCTATTTTAGATCCCTATTCTTTCATCCATGGCACATAATATGTCTATTTTTACTCCCATATTTTTTTTTGTATCGGCCTAGCTGCCGGCCCATCGTGCCGGGCCGGCCTAACATGCCGGTGGAGGGGCCCAAGCACGGCCCGATGGTCGGGCCGGGCCAGCATGGGCCCGACCTCCGTCGGGCCGTGCCGTGCTTAGGCCGGACCAAAATGCCGTACCATGGGTCGGGCCGTCGGGCCTCGGACCTTTTGGCCATCTGCCTGCTGGTTAATCAATCCCTTCAAACCACAGCGTAGAAATGTACACCGACATCTAGAAAACCTCCTAATTACGAGTACTACTCGAGCCCAGTGAACCAGTCAGTCAGTACTCTGTAGCAGCTTTGGTCTACCTAGGATTATTACTAGGAAACACAGGTATTCTGTTCCAAAAAAAACACACACACTCGTGTTGGGCTATAAATACTCGTGCACAACGCATGCCTTCTGCGACAGAAAAGAGCTGGACGTGGTCACGTAGAGTGCACCACTGATTATTCTACGAGCGACTCTTGAGTGGTTGGCAATGAGCAAGCGGCAGTTTGGAGAGATGGACGGCGGCATCGACACGGCCCGCGTCCTCATGCTCCTCTCCCGGCGGCGGCGGCAGCACGGCGACGTCGGGCACGCGCGCGCGGCCCGCGTGTTCGAGTGCAGGACGTGCGGGAGGCGGTTCCCGACGTTCCAGGCGCTGGGCGGCCACCGCGCCAGCCACAAGCGCCCGCGCCACGGCGCCGAGCGCGCGCCGCGGCCAGCAGGCGACGACGACGTCGGCGCCGGCGCCGGCGCCGCGCTCCGCCTCGTCGGCGCGGCGTCGTCGTTGTCGACGGACGAGGCGCGCGCGGGAGGCGGCGGCCGCAGGACGAGGGGCGCCGGCGCCGCGCACGGGTGCCCCGTCTGCGGGCTGGAGTTCGCCGTCGGGCAGGCGCTCGGCGGGCACATGCGGCGGCACCGCGCCGCCGCCGGCGACGTCGCGGCGCCGCGTGTGAAGACCGACGACGTTGTCGTTGGAGACGAGTGCACCGGCGGGATTTGCTTGGACCTGAACCTGACGCCGTCGGAGAACTGCGACAAGTGCCGGCACGCCCAGCTCGGCGTCGCCGTGAACTCTGTGCAAAGAACGATACTACTGGACCGTCCCCTTTGAGCTGACCCATTATTGTACTGATTTCTATACGTTTTCGTTGTATTTATCTAGCCTTTATATGTTTTGTTGCACGCTATAGAATCATATAAAGATTTTTCTATATATTTTTTGAACCTTTCAATCTTAAAATTTTACAAATAGACTATCCCGAAACTTATTTCTAAAGCTGAACCAAGAGTTTAAATTTGAAGTTTTGAGGTGGTTTACTTTTAAAATTAAAAAGGTTCAAAAGATATATAATAAACCTCTATAAGTTACTGAAGAAGAGGAGCCAAAATGCAGGAACAGCATCACTCTATTCCATGCATCCATTGATTAACTGAAAACCCAATAGCAATACAGCATGGACTACGTTACACACTGTAGCTTGCAGTTCAACGGATTGAAATCCAGCGTACAGTAGTAGCCCCCCAGGCAATTGCAACAGCTACGTCAAAAGCATGAGTAGTTGCTTCAAAGAATGGAAGCAAAGATAGGTACAACCAGATCCGTATCATAGTGTGTCTTCTTGACATTCTTCCTATAACAGCAAGACAGGGAACAAACAATGTCAAATAATAAACGATGGAGGCCGAGAAGGCGAACGTCTCCTCAGGAGCCGCAGCATGCAGATCCAGAAGCTGCTGGTTTGTCGGCACCCTGATCCGTCTTGTTGTTAATCTTGATTGTCTTGTCCTACAGTGCAGGAGCATATGTTTCTTAGAACAAAGAGCAAGATGATGTTTGAGACATAATTCAGTATGTACAGTTATCTGTACCTCAGGCTTGGAGTCGGTCTCAGCAAGCCTCTGCTTAATGTCACGTGCAATGGAGAAAAAAACTTGCTCCACGTTGAGGTTTGTCTTCGCACTCTGGAATACACAGTGCAGTGTAAAATCAAAACAATTGTCACTGCAAAGGCCACTTTCTTTTCAAAAAAAATGACAGTGAAAAGAACAAACAATTCAGGCAGCAACATACAGTTTCGAAAAATTTGATGCCATACTCATCAGCCAGTGCTTGGCCTTTCGCAGTAGGGACAGCCTGGAGAAATAACAAGAACAGGAAACAAATAAGCTTCTAACTAGTAATCCTCAGGGAAAACTGAGCATTTGACCACAACTTCAAAGTGGGGATACGGTATGAATGAACACCAAGGATAAAAACTGTGATGTACCCTTTTACTCTCATCCATATCAGCCTTGTTGCCAACCAAAATTTTGTTGACATTATCAGAGGCATGTTGCTCAATATTCCGAATCCAGTTCCGAATGTCTGTATTGTCAAATAAAACAGCAGTGACAAAATAGTTCAAAATGGAATAATTAAGGAAGGTATATATGTAAGGAGACAGTACTGTTGAAAGATGACTCGTCGGTGACATCATAAACAAGCAGGATACCCATGGCTCCACGGTAGTACGCTGAGGTAAAATGAGATTTACTTGATCAAAAGGTTCTCATTTAACTTCACAGGGTTAGTATGCTGAATGGAACAATAATTATACCAGTGGTAATTGTCCGGAAACGTTCTTGGCCAGCTGTGTCCCAAATTTGTAGCTTAATACGCTTCCCGTCCAGCTCTATTGTTCTAATTTTGAAGTCAATACTGCACAAACACAAATACTGCAATCAGCGTGGAGAAGATAATAAATTGAAAAGCTTGCGGGCAGGAGCCATAGAGCGGTCTTCCCAACATCAGAGAACATACCCAATTGTGGTAATAAAGCTTGTAGTGAAGGAACCATCAGAAAACCGCAGGAGAAGGCAACTCTTGCCAACACCTAGAAATGGAAAAATGAGAAAAAAGAATTCTTATAAGAAAATTGGCCAGCACAAAACTTGCCTGAGGAACTGCCATTAGCTACTAAATAATTAGTTCAACAGAATACACTAACAAAAGTGAATTTGTAAATATTATGGACTTTAAAACAGTACAACTGCTAGAGAAATAGCATGCTACCAAAGGTTATGCCTAGAAAATTTGAACTAATAGACTTACATTGGATACTAGAAAGAACCAAAAACAATTTGTAAAAGACTAAATCATAGATAGTCATAATTAAAAACAAGTAGTCATCACTGAGCAAAAGAATCCAAGATCAAGACCTATTAGAGCACGAGCTTTATGTTACAGACAATCATGAATAATCTGGCAATTGTCATGAAAACAATCACTTATTTGATCCTATCAATGAATAAGTCTCGACAAGGAATATAGTGGAAGCTCTACGGGTAGTGGCTCAAAGCGAGAGCACAAAATGCCCCTGGTTGATTTGAGCTATTGGTATAAAAATATAAATTTCTGCTATGAACTTTTAAACAATTACGCTATTTCATATAGCTGTAATGTTTGACCCATTAGTTTCACCCCTCACTCCAACTTTCTTCCAACAGCTACACATTTGGAGCATACACCCTCACGAGCAAGGAACTATCTAGTTCCACTCTCAACAACATGTAGCACAAATTCCATGGCATGCACTAACGAATGAAAATTATAGAGGAAAGAATAGCACATAACATACTCTCTTTAACTCTATCTCCTATTGCATGATTGAGTGCCAAAAAAGAAAGCATTGCTTCATGCTTATGTGCAACGTTTCTCAGATGGCCTTGCACACTGTCGAAATAACCTTAGTATCAGCTTAATCAGAAAAGCCTGCAATTCCAGTTGACCATTTCCAAGGTTCTTCCATCCAAGGAAAAACTTACTGAACCACGAAATTCATTTTTTTTTCTCCTCGCCATTTTCATAACTCCTAACTTTGCTTCTTCTTCTTCTTTTTCTTTTTTTTTTACATAAAGCACAGTAGTGGTAGTTCCTGCCTGTATGTACTAGGCAAGTAGGCATTATGTATATTGTAGGTTGAACAGAAACCAAATTCACATGAAAGACAGATCATGCACACAAGCGCACACCAAAGGCAAATCCTTTGCAGGATCCTAGTTGCTCGCGTGGCCCAATCCACCTGCGATCCAACCAACACCGAGGCGCGGGAAAACCCACACGACATCACTCGCCGTGGAATGGAAATGGGAAGGCAAGATCTAAGCTCGAGGTGGTGTCACCAACCGCTGTCCCCGATGAGGAGGAGCTTGATGAGGTAGTCGTAGTCCGCCCGAGCCCTCGCCGGCGGCGCAGCCATCTCGTCGCTCCGCTTCACACCCTCCTCCTCCTCCTCCCCCTACTCCACAGCCCACCCGGCGCGCCTCCTCCACCAATCCCCGACCTGCAGCGAACGGAAAAAAAAAAAAACAGACACCGTGAGAATGGCAGCACGACGGCGGCGGCGGATCCCGCGCGGGTGGCGGCCGGATCGGAGACCGCACCGGTAGGCGCGGCGGAGGATCGCGCGGCGGCGGCGGTGGCGGTGCGGATCTGGAGAACGGGGAGGAGGGAGTTGGTTTTTTTTTTCTCTCCTTTTTTCCCTTCGCTTTTTTAGTTTGCTGGTTGATTCGTCGCCGGCCGCATGAGCGAGCGAGCGACTGATCAGCGCGTGCAAGATCAGAGCTGGGTTTTGTAATTTGTTCGGTTTTTTTATGGGGTCCGGTTCGGTCGGTCAGGGTCAGGTCACTCGCTTGCGCTGATCGCTTTCTTTTTTCGGTTTTTCCCGACGCGCGCGGCCACCGACCGGTGAGGCTTTTGCGGGCACTGGTTGGTGGGCCAGCTGCGGAGTGGGGCCCAATTGTCTGTCAATGGAAGATGGGTACGCGCGTGGGGGTTCCATTCCAAGTTGCAAAATGCGTGGTTTCCGTCAGATTGATTGATTGGGTCGAGGGGGAGACAACAGAAGAGGTCACACAGCTCAAACACAAGTTCAGTGGGAGATAATTAACTATTTTGCCATCTATGCGTATGGTGTTTAATAATTTATCACTGGATACACGTATTATAGACATGTAATAAATATATGAGAATCCACGTATCATTGATATATGAGTGGTAAACGGCTAAACGTCAAATCTAAAAATGACAAATAGTTAAATGCTTCATTCATTAGGTTATTAAGAAAGTATGTAGAATTAAATAAGAAGAGGCTTGATTGGTTGAAAAGTTGAGATACTCTCTCTATAAAAAAAAGAATCTAAAACTGAATGTGATACATTCTAATACAATGTGTCCAGATTCATGGTACGAATGTGTTACATCCAATTCTTAGTTGATTTTTATGAGACGAAGGAAGTAGGTTGGAAAAATAAATGGTTGAGTGTTGTGATTGGTTGATAAGGGAATATCGGTGGTGGAGTTGTTATATTATGGGATGGAGGGGGTATCATTTAAAGTAGTATAGATGTACTCCCTCCGTTCAAAAAAAATGCATTCCTATTATACCAAGGTGGAATTAATGGAGATGGAGAATAACTAAAATATCCTTAATCATTGAAAAAAGTAGTAAGAGTGATAGGTAGGTAAAGAGTATCGAAGGGATAAAACTTTCGTTTTACATGCTGAGGGTAGGTAGGATGGTAGACGTTAGTTCTTAGTGTGACACAATTTAAACTCTAGAAGATAAGTTTTTTTTGGCAGGAGGGAGTACTCCCTCTGTCCAAAAAAAAAAGACAAACCCTGGTTGCCGTGTCCAACATTTGACCATCCGTCTTATTTAAAAAAATTATGAAAAAAATTAAAAGATAAGTCACGCATAAAATATTAATCATGTCTTATCATATCACAACAACGAAAATACGAATTATAAAAAAAATTCATATAAAACGGCACTTGCACGGCACATTTGACGTGTAACGATACCGATTTGTACTGCTTGGACAGTTGGAACAATCACCCAACCATTCGTTCATGTGCGAACCAACCGTTTGCTTGCTTCCAACTCCACAATGCCCTTTGTGTGCCTACACGGCTTCCGTGCTACAAAACTCTCCACTCGGCAGCTGCTTTTTTTCATGCAGTTACAGCACGCAAAGAGTTGCTTTCAGTCCAGGGGATTGGCAACAAGGAACACCAATTGCATGTGGTGCTTGCTGCTGCCACAGGCATGCTTTGCCTTAGAGCAAGTTTAATAGTATAGGCCATTACTAGCTCCAAATAATCTATAGCCGATGTAATAGCCAATTCATACAATAGTTGCTTACTATACTATTAATATCTGATCCCACCTGTCATACACACATTACGTCTTGGAGTCCGTGCTGCAGCTGGCTATAGATCTGTAGCCCGCTGCTCTTCTCTCTCTTCCTTTATTTCTTTAAAATATGTTTATAGCTGGTTTATAGCCTGCTATTGTACCTGCTCTTAAGGCAATGTTCAGAAATCGATATTAGTGTATGATCGCCGTTAACTTGATCATTATGTGGTGAGGTGATCAATTGGGTTCCAGTTTAGTTGATGTTGAGAAGTGGCAATTCGGATTTCAATGGAAAATCAAGAAGAGCAGATCTATCGTCGGTGCCCAGAAATGGACAAATTGAGGCCACGTTCATCCTCCCTAGTGCATAGTAGGACACAAGATCCAAAATATTTTCTCCAAAGCATGTTCTTCATTAATCCGTATAACTAGAATATTAAGTGTGTACTAATATATATGTATAAGATACAGGGTAATTTTCATTCTAATTTCACCTTAGTGATAGAAGTGCATCCTAAAATAATCACACCAACCGTGCTGGTCAAACTACACTTAAATCAAACAAAATTATACTAGCAGCCAAGACTAGGGGATTACCTATACATTTGTCAACAAATTCTTTTTAAAGAAAGGAACATTTGCAAATTTGCCACTGTTTTTTTTCAATTTTGCAAAGATACCACTCGAATAACAGTTTCAGTGGCATTTTTGCAATTTTCTAGTGACAGTTTTGCAATAACGATTCAAAACAGTAGTAAATTTGCAATTGCCCCTTTAAAGAAAGTTTAACAGATATAATTACAGTGCAATCGTAATTACATGCAAGTTTTTAAGAGAGAATTTATCGAAAATATATAGCAAAATTGATCCAAACATGTATCCGAAACGCTTCGACTGGTATCGATCCTGTTGGACCCATCATTTGCAGCCCACTTATACTCTACGACTAAAAAAGATGGCCCAGGTGGAAGCGTGGAGCCATCGATAATTTGGAGTGAAAATTCAGCCTGAAGGCAAGCACAACAGGAAAAAAAAAAACCCAGCGCAGCGCCGTGCGTTGTGCGAGGCGTGGCCATAGCAGCTGGAGAGCAGATCGACCGAGGCGCCGGTGAACGTGTTCGATAGAGTCGCCGACAACAGGTCACCGCTGAAGCCCAGCATCCAGCCGCCGGCGAGGCCGTGCCAAGGAGGAAAAGGACTCGGCGCCTGGAGCTGGACCCTCGTGAGTAAAGTAGCAGCAGTGGAACAGACTCGTCACCGGGCGGAGGGCGATCCCCACGACGGGCAGGTCGGCGTGCTCGGCGATCGTGGTCATGCTCAGGCGGCAGGTCGGACACAACATTACGAGCTCAGCCCCCATGAACATTACGAGCTCAACACAAGAAACATTCCAGGATCACAATTGAGCCAATTTCTCAGTGACAGAAGTAAAAATTGTACAAAAACACGCACATACTCCATCAATTAAGAGGGATTGCTAGAAGCATTGAAATACCACTCATGAACTTCCGAATCAAAAAAAAAGAGAGGATAAATAATAACATGGGATTATACCCCTTGTAAACAAATGATCAGGTGCAAATTACAAATTATCACGAGTAATATCAAAATCAGAGATGTATTATTATGAGAACACTAAATACAGTGCCCTCGTTTAATAACTACACGAGCATTCATATAAACAAGGTCAAGCAAATCAGCTCGTTATCTTACTCTTTTTTTTCCTACCAAATGTATTTGAAAATTAAAAACGGATTTCCAAGTGACTGTTCCAGAATTCCAAACAACTCCAAGGTTCCAACCCCATCGAACAAATCGAATGCAAAAGTACAACATAAGTGCATAACTGTCAAGCAACAAATTGGAGCATACGAACATTTTTTTCTCGAATGCGCAAAAGAATTGAACGTCAATATATACAAACATGCCTCTGTTTTTACCAAACTACTTTAGAAAAATCAAATACAAATATCATCAGAAGTTATACCTACTGACTTTTCATCTTTAAAGCACAACAATTCACATACCATGTGACCAAATTCAGGTAAATTTAGAATTTCATATCCTACCTACTTAACAAGTAGCTACTAGCACTAACATTCACATTTCGGACACAACAGATAATAGCGCATATTAGCTAGGTGCAAGTTGGCCAATCACAAACATTACAATGATCAATCAACAAACAGAACAAGATGCAACCGAATCAACAATCACCAGACTTAACGTCACCACATTTAAGCTCCTGTCCATTTTAAACTACAATAAATCATAAGACAGTAAAATGGCATTATCGCAACTTGACACTTATGCAAGTATCAGCAAATAAGTAATAGTATTATCACAACTAACTAAACACTTATGCAAGTAGACAACAAATAGGTGATAAATTTATGATAACTAACTAAATACTTATGCAAGTAAACAAAAATGTGTTATAACATTATCATAACTAAACTCATTTGCAAGAACACAAATTAGGAAGACATTAACAAAAAGCACCAACTGTAAACATTAACTACTAGTGAACATCGCACTACCACAGCATATAAATCAGTCCTATTGCAAGCAAGGAGGCATGGCATTGCATATGTTCCTATAACCACAATTCCCTCTGTTGCACCTGCTGCAAGCTGCTTATCTAATTACATTCTTACGTTGATGTCACAATTTCCGCTTACGACATACATACCTTTCCATATTCCAGCAAACTCCACAATGTTGGGATGCAATTCATGAATACAATCTCATAATGTATGTAAAGCAATCACATTACATGATATCAAGCTAAAAAGTGCCACTACATAACATGAGAAACAGCATTTCCCCAACCACCCAAGCACCCCAAATGGCAATGCTATTTTCAATAATTACCCAAACACAAACGAAGAACCAAATAACCCACCAGGAGGCATATATGTGCATCCACTACCAAACACAGATCAATTGTTCGAAATTATCCAAATCTTAACAATATTATTACAGGCAGCATCTAACAATTCACAGTTCCCCCATCCCTCTGCCCAGACCACACTCCTCGACCCTACACCGGTGTTAACCTACACGGGTACAAACTGATTGGCTTGACTGTCCATCTATTCAGAAAACACCACAAATTACGTACAAACAACCGAACCGATTCACGACAAATGATATAGCATGCAACGAAGACGATGATGATGACGATTGACAACAGATAGGAGCGTTTCAGTTCAGACAAGAGGGAGAGGGAAGCGGGGGACACCACCACCAAGCCGGCATTGCGTGTGCCCTAAGCGGCCGCCGCCTTCTTTGGCGACTTGGTGGTGGCCTTCTTGGGCGACTTGGGGGTCTTACCCTCCTTGGCCTCCTTGGCCGCGGCGGAGCCGGTCTTCTTGGGGAGCAGCACCGGGTTGATGTTGGGCAGCACCCCGCCGTGCGCGATGGTGACGCCGGCCAGCAGCTTCCCGAGCTCCTCGTCGTTGCGGATCGCCAGCAGCACGTGCCGCGGGATGATCCGGTTCTTCTTGTTGTCCCGCGCCGCGTTCCCCGCAAGCTCGAGCACCTAAAAAAAAATCCAATTCAGGCCGGCTACCGCGTCGAGGGTACGGGGCTGTGCGCATGCGCGGGCGCGGCCAAACCTCGGCGGCGAGGTACTCGAGGACGGCGGCGAGGTAGACGGGGGCGCCGGTGCCGATGCGCTGGGAGTAGCGGCCTTGCTTGAGGTAGCGGCCGATACGGCCGACGGGGAACTGGAGCCCGGCCTTGACGGAGCGGGACACCGGCTTCTTCTTCGGCCCGCCGCCGCCGCGGCGGCCGCCGGCGCCGGCCTTCTTGGGCACCTTCGCTCCCACCTCCATCGATCGCGACGAGCTCCTCCTCCCCAAGCTTTCTCCCTCTTCTGTTTTGTTCGATTTTTTTTTCTTCCTATTTTTTTTCCTTTTGGGGGAGGAGTGCGTGTGCGTTTGTGTTTTCGTTGTGTGTGGTCACGGGGGGAGGGTGGGGGATGGGGGCGGTGCTGCGATCTGGGCCGTCCACGTCACGGGGTCGATGGATGTGAGCCGTTGGATGGGGTTGGGCGATCCGTGGGAGCTGGGTGCAGCCAATCAGAGCAGGAGGAGAGAGGGTAGTGGATCGTGGGATCATACAACAACCTTCGACTTCGAGGCTTTGGACGGCTTTCTTTTGGTTCACTTCCGGTTTCTGCAGTTTGATCATTTCTAAGAAACTGAGCCCTTGTTTAGGGTTGTGTTTCACGCCAAAATTAAAAGTTTGGTTGAAATTAAAAAGATGTGACGGAAAAGTTGAAAGTTTATATGTGTAGTAAAGTTTTGATGGGTTTGTGTGTAGGAAAGTTTTGATGGGACTTTCTTACACACAAACTTCCAACTTTTTCATCATATCGTTTCATTTTCAACCAAACTTTCAATTTCGGCATTAACTAAACACACTCTCAACTCCACATTTTCTTTAGAATTAGACTGACCTCCACATTTTCTTTTCACGGAAAATATACACGATGCTAAAATTATTTGATTTATAGAAGTATATCTTTTATTTTGTTTTTTATTAGACTTAATAGTAAATGAAAAAGGAAATATGTGTGCCCAATTGTCATACTTATAAAACCCAATAAACTCAAGAAAATGTTGACCATTCAGTTTTTAACAATTTTGTTAATAAAAATTTGAATTTTCATCTATTGTTTCTACCAAAATTGTATTTTTAAAATATTTGAATTATGTTACATCTGTCACCAAATGTCTTGTTTTAGTTTTTTTCTCAAATTCAAGCCTAACATTTTTTTTAAAAAAAAAAATCTAGCACCAAGTTTTGAAAGTAAAAGAAACCATGTTCAAATCGAACAAAGCTCTACGCCACGTTCACTATCTAACAAGTTATCTAGTTTAATATTACATTTCTTGTTAACTCCTCTTACCCGAATTGGTATTATGATCATGACTATGATTCTATAGTACAACTTTTATGGAGCTAGGGACCTCAACCTTAAAGGAAGTTTTTTTTTTCTTTCCAATTCATTTATTGGATAATTCAAATTTTAGCTTAGAGAACGGTCCATATGGAATGAGTAGCATGTACACATTTAATAGTTTAAGATTTAAAAATGTATTTGAGAAACCTACCCAAGTATACGAAATATTAGACAATCATATTAGAAACATGTAAAATATTTGTAGGAAACCATCGGCATCCAACAATTTCGACAAGGGAGCTTGGGAATATGTAGTGTCACAGTAACTAATATGATTTATATTTTTCTTGGTGAATGGCACAAATAATGGAACCATCGATGGAACCTGTATGTTCTGACCACTTTCTTTATGTAACCGTGGAGGGAACAATACAAAGTTTTACATGGAACACACCATTTAACCATTTAAGAATGTTCTAACGAAAAATGAGAAAATTACCACAGCTAAAAATCACATCCCAAGGAGCCCTAAGAAGGGTTACTCTATTATATGCGTCGTTGTGTATAAGAGCAAGTATAGTAGAAGTACGTCTGCCGGCGATAGGAGCGCCTCCTTAGCTTTACTGGTGACCTAAAAGAGATAATAGGAGAAAGAGAGAGCAAGTGAGCAACTAAGAGCAGGGAACTATAAGCCTACTATAACCTTATGTGGAGGAGAGAGGTAGAAGACAGTTGGCTTTCATGCAAGATCTAGCTCCAAGACAAATATATTAAATGTATAAGTGAGAGAAAGAGAGATGAGAAGAAAAAAATTGAAGTAGGAAGTGAGCTCTACGATTATACATGTTAGCTTTAAGATAAGCTAATAGTAGAAAGTGAGCTCTACAATTATCCTTAGTCTAAATTACCGCTACCTCCTCACACACTCCAATAAGCATGATTAACTTTCACTTGCATGCAGCAAATAGAGCAGGTGGATGAGTGAATGATACAACTATCACTACTAAAAGAAACTCATCTTTAATCCCAGTTTGCAACCCCTTTAGTCCCGGGTTGCAAACCGAGATGCCCAATTCGGAACTAAAGATGCTCATCTTTAGTCCCGGTTGAAATAATCCAGGACTAAAGTTTTTTTTTCTTTTTTTCATTATTTTTTTTCTGCATGCATATTGATTTCCAACCAAACTCAACAACAAAATCACCCACATTCACAAAAACATCATAGAATCATCCACAATTTCAACAACAAAATCATCCACAAATTTACATCACAAAATCATCCACAAATACCTAGATTAATTAGATCATCAATTATCAGCTTCATTCTCCATCTCTAGAGGATCAAATACCTAGATTTATTAGATCATCAATCCTGTAGCCTACCGCCGCCGCACTGGGCGCCGCTGCCGCCTGCCGGTCGAGGAGGAGGAGAAGAAGGAGTGGAGGAGGATGGGAAGGAGTGGAGAGGCGTGCGGGCATGCGACGATGCCGAGGAGATAAGGAAGAGAGAGAGAGAGCGAGAGATGCGTGGGAGAGAGATATTTAGTCCCGCTTAGTAATACCAATCGGGATTAAAGATATAATCTTTAGTCCAATTTGTTCGGAGGCCTGACAGCTATTAAACCGAGACTTTAAAATGATCTTGTTACCAATCGAGACTAAAGATCAAAGAGAGACGCTGAACTTTTGAACTGGGACTGAAGAAAGCTTACTACACTATTAAACTTGCTCTAATTAAAGTATAAAATTTTACTGCTCATAAGGGAATCTTTTCCTACCGATATGAAGTTTTAGTGCATATGTAGTTTCGTACGTACTATATAAATGTATCAACTGTAGTTTCACAGTATCCCTTTTTGGTTTTGGATAAATTTGCAATTCTAATACTGACAACAATTACTTATGCAGTTGTAGCCTCTACCGTTTGAGCTGAATTAAACGGTACAGACTATCCAGAGTGCTGTAGCAAAAGTACTATATAAAAGTTTTTTTTTTTTTGATTCTGCTGTTTGATCACGTAGCTGTGAATCTGAATTGTTGATCATCAAAATATCAAAATGAAGGGCTGAATATATATATACAGTCCTAAGTGCAGTCATAGTTATGGCTGGAACTAATCTCAATCCTCGAGGAACGACAATACTTATTTTTCTTTGAAATCTGTTAGCACGTTTTTTAAACATCTAAACGATGTGTTTCGTATAAAAATTTTATCTGTAAAATTAGCTATAAAATAACATATAAAGTTATTTTTTAAAAATATGTAATAACTAAAAAATAATTAATCATACGTTAATTCCCTTTCTCTTCTTTTTACATGCCCAATACCCATTAACTCTATCTCCATCTTCACCATTTCAAACACCTCTCTGCGGCGAGAAAATGGACATTTAGCCACGTCCAAAACAGGGTTTCACTAAAATGTTATCCCGAAAACGCGTTTCGCTAAAATACCAATATGAAGCGCGTGCTCACCGCCACTTTGCCAGTTTGGACCTTTTGTGCATTTTCGAAATCATTTTCACTCCTCCACCGGATGATGAGACAAAATTGCCCTTCATGTCCTCCGTCGCCGTCGTTGAGAAAGAGGAGCTCGTCCTCGCCAGCCAATCTCCATGTCCACCACGAGCACCTCACCGTCTTCCTCCTAGACGGCGAGGTGGCCGGCGAGTCCTTCGACATCATCCCCTCCCTCAACCTCGCCACCTCCGCCGACTACCTCACCGCGGTCGACGACGACGGCTAGGGTTTCGAGGAGGCCCCATGACCTCGCCGGTGACGGAGGCGAAGGGGGACGCGGTGGAGAGACAACAGCAGTTGCTGGCGGGCCTCGCCGGCGACGGAGGGTTCACCGGTGACGGAGGCGAAGGGGGACGTGGTGAAGAGGCAGCAGCAGCTGCTGGCGAGCCTCGCCGGCGACGAAGACGGAGAGGGACGCGGTGGAGAGGCAGCAGCAGTTCCTGGCGAGATGGAGCGCAAGCCGCCGCCGCCGTGAGGCCTCCTCGACGACCTCACCTCCGCCTCCGCCTCGTCAATGTCGTCCGACGGCGGCAGACAGGGGCAGCCGCCGGTGGTTCCGTTGCTCCGCGCACCCGCGCACCCAAATGCCCTCGTCGGCAGCGGCAGTGGGCTCATCCGGCGGCGTTGCTGGCCATCCCGCCCTTGTCGACAGCAGCTTCGGAAGGGGAAGGATGATGGATGGAAGGGCATTTTCGTCTCATTACCTACTGAAGAAGCGAAAATGATTTCGAAAATACACAAAAGGGCCAAAATGATAAAGTGGTAGTGAGCACGTGCTTCATATTAGCATTTTAGCTAAACCCTTTTTCGAGATGGCATTCTAGCGAAACCCTGTTTTGAATATGGCTAAATGTCTATTTTCTACTCCGCGGCAGTGCGGCACCCACACACCCGCAACAGGGAAAAAAAAAAAGCGCTCTCCACCGCGACACCGCTGGCTCGCCACTTCTCCGTCCGCCCGCCCGCGTCGCGGAGGTGGCGCGCGCGTACGCGACCGGACCACACGAGCGCAGCGGCGCCAGAAAAAAAAAACCCAAAAATGCGTTCGATTCTTCGTAGTACGTACCAACGGCCGGCGAAAGCCGCGACACCAACACCCACCCATGTGTGCGCGCGCGCGGTGCCGCGTATCGCCGTGTGCCGCGCGGCGGCGCCCATGTGCCTCAACGTGGGTCGGTTCCCCCCTGCAGTCTGCTCCTCGATCCCTTTCTCCTCGATCGATCGCTCGTCGGTTATTATCCATCGAGCTTTCGGTGGAAGCGTGCGCGCGTCCAGCGCGATCCGGACACGCACGCACAATGCTGTGCTGCAGCGCATGCAATTGCAAGTACATGTGCGCGCGCGTCCGCGACCGCGAGCGCCGTCGTGCGTGCGTGTTCCCGGCAAGATTCTTCCGGAACATGCTAAATTATTGACGCTACCAACGGCCCGAAAAGCAAGTTCATGTTGTTGTCTACCGAAATCATCAATCTAAAAGCCCTCTCCAGGCTCACAACTCCAGAGGTTCAGATCGACATACTGCTGCAACGTTGCATGGTTGGTTATTAGAAATTGAAATCGACAGAACAGAAGAGTCGTAGCAGCAACAGCAGCAGCAGTCCACGCCAAAATTTTGTTCGATCGGTTCGCGACGAACGAGCAATCAGACGGCATTTGAGACTTGAGAGGGATAAGGATGGACCTCGCATTATCAGCTGCATGCAATGCACGGCGACGGGGTCCTCTTATTAAATGTTGTGGCAGGGTGACATGCATCGTCTCCACTCTACAGTGCTGTCAGTGCGTGCATGCATGCACTGGTGGTGGACCGGTGCACCGGCCATGATCTCTTATCCACAAAACTGAAAGTAGCAGCGGTACAGCTCACTAGATATCCCCCCCCCCCCTAATTTTGACAGTTCTCCGTAATAATTTTTGGGACTACCTATACATTTGTCGATAAATTTTCTCTTAAAAATTTATCAAATGTAAATACAATATAATTATACTATAATTACTCTATAACTACAAAATAATTACACTATAACTTACATGTAACTACACTGTAACTATAGTATAATTATATTGTAACTATAGTATGACTACACTATAATTATAATAATTACACTGTAACTTACATGTAATTAAACTGTAACTATAATATAACTTACATGTAAGTGAGATTCTACCTTTAGAAAACTTATGTTTGGCACTGCTCACGTGAAAGAGGGATTATGAACTCGCAATGTATGTTTGTACGATGCGTGCGGAGGCCATCATTCATGCATACATGTTCGGATATGCCCTGCCGCTTTATCTCTGCCCTTCATCTGTCATCTACGAGTGCATGAGCCGCGCCTGTGGCCGGCGGCCGGCGGCCGTCACAAGAAACAAATCAAAGCGTCGACGCAAAAGCACGAATCCCGAGATTCATCAAGCAGTTCAAAAATCGATAAATTCTGAGGAAGGAATTTGTCAACAGATTTATAGCAAAATCGCAATTTTTTCTTGTTAGAGTAGTATACTCAGTCTTTTTCTTTAAAGGATATACTCAGTAGTATTTCTAATGTACATTCGTGCTTTGCGACGAACCAAGCTCATATGTAATCAAAATTTGGGTGGAAAGTTATGCTTTTTCGATAGATCAGACCAATTAGAGATTGATTGGGGGATGAATAATTAAGGATAAATCAGAATGGTTATGTACGTATACATGAGAAGAAGCGAACATTATGGCGGGGAACGGAAGGAGAACGAAGGTAGCAATAGATAACATTGTTAAGTTTCGAACATGCATTTAATTGCTTCTTATAAAAAAATATACTAATCATTATTTCTTTTATTGCGATATATTTTATCACTAAAAGTAATGTATGTTATATTTGTACAAAATTTTTTAATAAGAAGGTGGAAAACATGTTAATAATCACAACGCTATAACTTTAAAAGCATAAGCACTTCATTCTTCCATAGGGACGACTATGTTTTTCAATTCTACTAGTTAATTAGGATTCACGCTATTTTTTTTCATTTTAACAAACCACAATTAATTATTTCTTTTTTATTCAAAACAAAGTACAATGTAGACACTTATAAATCACATGTACACTTATCCTTATAAAACGAGCACATGAGCACATGTACACCCTATTCTAAGAGCAACTCCGAGCGTCTGATTAACATATTTTGATGCTGAAGTCATCATAATTAGCTCGTTCGTTGTCGACATAACTATATCGCTTACCATTAAAAGTATAATTAATCGTAAATACGAGTACACATGCCAAGTTTTTAACTTAATTTGGTGAACGGATTCCACCGTGAATAACCTAACCAGCTAAACTTATGCTCAATTTGTCATAATAACTACTCCCTCCGTTTTAAAATGTTTGACAACATTGACTTTTTAGTACGTGTTTGACCATTCGTCTTATTCAAAAAATTTAAATAATTATTTATTCTTTTCATGTCATTTGATTCATTGTTAAATATACTTTCATGTATACATATATTTTTATATATTTCACAATCTTTTTTAATAAGACGAACGGTCAAACATGTGCTAAAAGTCAAGGGTGTCAAATATTTTGAAACGGAGGGAGTAATTATTTTCGTAATAAGTTTTTACTAGAGTTCGATTAATATATCCAACTCCAAAAGTCGTTGAATTCACCCACACCTGCAAGGCTACAACTGAGATGCGCAAGTGTATGACCACAAGGTGAGAAATACATAAGCACTTTTAACCTGCGGTCCCTCCAACCCAAGATGTCGCTGGGCAGCCGGTCTCGTCTTTATATATACCACCACTCGCTTCCCTTCTCTCCTCACATTACCCCCGGCCGCACCACCCCCTTCTTCTCCAACCTCTTGCAGCTGCAGACACAATCGTTAAATCGCGATCACCGCAGCAAGCCATGTCGTCGCAGCGGCCCGGCCGTCACCAGCGGAGGGCGTCGCAGAGCGTGTTCGTGCTCCCGGATAACTTCGCCGACCTCGACGACGTGCCGGCCGGCGCCGGCGGCGCCGGCGAGGACGGCCGGAAGGGCGCCGCCGCGACGGCGGACGCGGCCGGCGGGCAGCAGCAGGCTCGCCCATCGCCGGCGGCGCGCCACCGGAGGGCGATGTCGGTGGCCGTGGCGTCGTCCAGGGAGCTGGAGATGATCAAGGAGGACATGGGCAGCTACAAGATCGGCGCCTGATGCAGCATCGATCGCACACACAGGGGCGCCGTGCTTAGTACTTGCGGCTAAATCGTCATGTGTATGGCCGGTTAATTTTCGTGGTTAAGCGCGGCACGCGTCGCGTCAACCGATGTCTCGCTTGTTCTCTCTCTTCTTCTTCTTCTTCTTCTTCTTCTTCTTCTTCTTCTTCTTCTTCTTCTTCTTCTTCTTCTTTTCTCTCTTTTGGTGAGGACATGTAAGATGGGAGATGTAATATTATGCTTCCTTTTTCCACACGATGACTGAATGAATCACTAAAATGTGTGAACTCTACATGTTTCTGGAGATCTTAGGATGATTACGCAATCGCAGGAACTGCAAGCACGCGTGTTCATTTAAAATAATTATTTTAGAACCTGTTCTTTTATAATTAAGATATGAAGTAGTAGAATTTATCTTGACTTTCGTTAGTATACATTTTAATTACTAAATGATACATTTCATACCAATTATGTAGAAGTTATTTAACATACTAGACACATTCATTTTTTTTCAATTTAAACTGACTAAAACTTAATTCATCATACACTAACGACTCTCTTATTTTACATGTCCGTATCTGATCTTTATATTTAGACGGAGCCTTAGTCACTTAATGGCAATACCGCAATAGCGTACAGAATCTCATACTCTGCGCGTATGCGTAGCTGGTTGTCACTATTCGCAGGCAGCAAAACGCATCTCAACTTATCGCTCCAGCGTGCGATGCGACGTGTCGACACGGTGGGCATCTTCTGGGACGCTGTAAAAACCAATAGCAAAAGCACACCTAGCTTTCGTTTTATTCGACAGAGGCCTCGTTTAGTTCCCAAAATAAAAAATTATCATATATCATATTAAATGTTCGGACACATGTATGATATATTAAATGTGAAAAAAACTAATTACATAATTTACGTTTAAATATGCGAGACGAATCTTTTAAGTCTAATTGAACCATGATTTGATAATGTGGTGCTACAGTAAATATTTGCTAATAACGAATTAATTAGGCTTAATAAATTCGTCTCGCAGTTTCCTAGCGGAATCTGTAATTTGTTTTGTTATTAGACTACGTTTAATACTTTAAATATGTGTCCGAATATTCGATGTGACAACCAAATCTAAAAGTTTTCCCTAACTAAGCAAGGCCAGAATACTCAAGATAAACTCAGGTTACGATTTTTTTCCTAGGAAGTAATTCAGGATTGTAAAAAATCAATCCTAAGAACATGTTCATATGTGTACAGGTTTAAGATTTGATGTTCTATGACACTCCATAACCAGACAGTTATGCATGCATGTGGCCATGTCCCAGACGACACCGAGCTGAGAAAGCCTGAAACCGAAATGACAAAGATGCCGGTTGCTCTGAGATTCGCTCGCGGAACACGAGCATATGCATGCCGATCATCTTCGCGTCTTCACCCCCGTTTTGTTTCTTTCCCCGGGCCGGAATATTGGCCCCGCCCGCCTGCCAACCAATCCAACCGAGCCACATGCGCAATCACGCAACACATGTTCTCAAATTACTACTTCCTCTTTTTAAGTTGAACACGGTTATTAAAAAATACGTAGAATTAAATAGGAATAGATTGTAATTGGTTGGAAAGGAAAGGTAAGTCGAAAAAATAAATGGTGAATGGTTGTGATTGGTTGAAAAATGAATGTTTGTGAAGAAATTATTATATTTTAGAACAAATGTTAAGTGGTAAAATTATTATATTTTGGAACAGAGCGTACCAGATTTACAATCATCAACGCGAGAGATCCGATTGTACGTACACAAGCACGTACGTACAACCGGTACTTGCATCATTGCATGATACCACCTGTGTTATTGCGTTTATTTTTCCATGTCGTTTTCAGGGTTTTGATTAGCAATCTGTTGTACACTTGTGTACTGTATTTGTAATGCGGGTGTGTGTATGATTGGTGTTTGCTACTAGTGTGCGCCCCCAGATCTCGATCTGGAACATGCACACATGATGGATCATGGATGGATGGATGGACCAGGGCACCAAAGGCTCAATCATCTTGATTTGATAGGCCGTTTTTTGGGTCGATGTACGTGTCGATGGACATCTGTACACTTGCAAATCCGTAGCGAATCGATTGATGGATCTGTTATGGATTGATGATATATTACACCGACATGACTTGTGTGTAGTTTTCTCTTTTTTTCTAAAAAAAAATCATCGGTGTGTTAATGTGTTTCGTGGTGGATTATTTGATTCGCCAGATTTGACGAAAGTTAAATTTGGACTCTTCGTGGACTCGAGTTGGGTCTACATTTGTCTGGGCTTGATTTGTTCAAGAGCCCCATGGCCCATTCACCAAAGCAGTTTGTTTGTGGAATAAGTCCAGTTTGACTCCCTTAGTTAGTGGCTGATTCGTACCCCAGAACCACGATACGGATATCTCGATCCCCCATTCCCCCAACTATTCAAACTGGTACAATTTGACTTCCTCGACGGTTTTGGAGGACGGTTTCGCTAATGTGACCCCTTTGTAGCAGTGTTGACTTGGTCTTCGTCCAACGTGGCGTTGACATAGCGCTTACGTGACATTAGATTTTTTTAAAAAAAATATGTGGGGTCCCATTTTGTCTCACAAAAAATTACGGGACCCACTAACACGTGGGGCTTAAATGTCATCCTCTTACCGGTGCACGCACGAGCTCGGCGGCACCGCCTCTCCCCTTTCCCTTCTCAACCCCCTCCCCCCGCTCTATAGCATCGGATGGCGAGATTCGAGGTGGTGCTAGCGCAGGTAGAGACGGAGGAGTCGGCGGCGGCAGAGGAGAAGGCCGCGTGCCCCGAACATGATTCCGGCGCTGCGGCGGAAGAGGGAGATGATGGCACACCTCGTCCCCTCCCTGACCACATCTTGTGGCATGCAGGGAGGCTGATGCAAACGACCCCTCCCCGACCACTTCCGCAGCGAGATCCTGGAGACACAATAGGCGAGATGCAGTCGCTCTCTCTCGTCCTCCACTCTTGCTCTCAACGACGTAACAAAAGAAGTAGACATGGGCATTGTGGTCAGAACACATGCCAAACAATAGTTTGGCATCGGTTGGGAGTGACTTTAACAATCCGCGGAGTGGCATTTGAGTAAAACTCTCTTTTAGCAGTGGGAGAATGTCCTATTTCCTTGTTATTTTCTCATGCGGATTAAGATTTTATCTCGGTTTCCGTTAGCACGCTTTTCAAGCTATTAAACGACATGTTTCGTGAAAAAAAAATTCTTGATGAAAGTTGCTTTAAAATATCAAATATATCATCTTTCATGTTTGTAGTAATTAAAACTCAATTTATCACACGTTAATAGCTTTCTCGTTTTACATGCCCGCTTTAAATCTTAATTTAAAGTAGAAACGAACGGACCGACGTCTAGGACTACATCTGGGTTTTCTCGGTTATTTTCGTTAAACGGCACACACTCCCTCTATAAAAAAACAAACTTCGAAGTCTTTGATCTTTGGACATACAGATTCATTTCCAGAAGTTTTTTTTATTGAGACCAAGAGTGTATGGTTGAATTTACTGTAATAAATTTGGTCAATTCCTTAATACGTAACGTAACATGACCAATAAACTATTTTAGTAGCTGTAGCACTGGTTAATTTTTTCTCCATCCAACATGTGACATTTCGATGGCTTCGCCAGCCATGCATATTTCGAATACCCTCAATTTATCATAATCGCCTATCCACAACATAAATAGTAATCATGCTTCAATTATATCTTCGTTATAAAATACAGCTCTCTGTCTTATCTCATAAAAATACTTCAAACGTGCTGATATTTTATAGTGACGGAGAGAGTACCAATTTGTCAATGACAGATATAGTACGATGAAAGCTATCGGATCGGTGATAATTGTGCAAACATCTCGCGAGAGCTATCAGCTACTACGTACTATGCATTATTTCAGTTGATGTGCACTTTTTCTGACCAAAATGCATATACACTGAAAGAATTTCTCTCTCGTCCTACCGAAAATAGAGTACTACTGCACTACATTCAGATTCGCAAAATCGCAACTCGACCGTTCAAATCAAAATCCTAAAAATTTCTACGGGACGGAACACGCCAACCTGACTTTTGTTCGTGTTTGGGGGCGCTTTTCCACAGTATAAAATCACAGATACCCTTTTGATTTTGATAAAATCCCCTATGTACCTATGAACAGAGTTCACCCTTCCCCGCAAAAAAAAAAAAACATAATTCACCTAATCCTTTCTATACTCTTGAATTTTGCTCAATCCCTTACATACCCCTGAATTTTAGTTTGGATCCCTTCCATGCCCTTTTCGCTAGTTGACCGTTAAATTTTTTTAAAAAAGTCCATTTTACCCTTTGCTATGAAGAAACATAATAAATTAATGAAGTATATTGTTGGAATGTAAAAATTTATTGGATGAGACTATTATATTTATGAGTATGTAATGCACCATATTATTTGTGACAAATTTACTTTTACATATGATATAAAAAGTTAATACTTATTTATTAGTTATTAAAAGTTCTTTTGTGTAGCATATGTGTTTTTATAGTAATACAACATATTTGTTTATTACTATCAGAACACATATACTAAAAAAAATCTTTTAATAACTAATAAATAAGTAATAATTTTTTTATGTCATATCTAAAAGTATATTTATCGCAAATAATATGGTGTATAACTGTCTCATAAATAAAATAGTCTCATATAACAAATTTCTATGCTTAAACAATATACTCTATTAATTTATATGCTTCTTTATACCAAGGGCAAAATTGACTTTTTCATAAGGATTTAACGGTCAACTAGTGGAAAGGGTATGGAAGGGATCCAAACTAAAATTCAGGGGTATGTAAGAGATTGAGCAAAATTCAGAGATACAGAAGACATTAGATAAACTTTCAGGGTACACAGATTTTCTCTTTGATTTTCGTGTGCCTCCATGCCGCGCGTTTCCCCTTGGCCGCAGGAACTAAAACCCGCCTTGAATCTCAGCCCTCCACGTGTCTGCCTAAGAGCACCCCACGTCACCACCGCTATACCAACAATACCGCGCCTTTTTCTCCCTCCCTCCTCGCGGCGGCGGCGGCGACGGCCGACGGCGGAGGCGGAGGCGGAGGAGGAGGAAGACGAGAGGAGCCGAGACGGGAGGCGTGTCCGTTTCTTCGTCCCGCCCTAGGGTTTCTACGAGGGGGAGGCAATGGCTGCCGCGGCGGGGGTGGCTGCTGGAACGGGAAGAGGTAGCGGGGAGGGAGAGGAGCTGCTCCCCAACGCCGTGGAGGGAGACGGCGGCTGCGGCGGGGGCGGCACGTGCGCGGGGGACCGCCCGTGGCGGCTCAACTTCGACGGCCTCCGCCGCCCGGAGGCGCACCAGGAGAAGCCGCCGCGCCGCTTCCATGACCGCCTCGGAGGGCTAGGTACTACCTCTCTAACTGTCTCTCGTGATTGGTGGTTCTCTGGAACTTTCGTATCGTTTGTGTTTGGGTGCTATTCGTTTTAGTTGTAGGATTGTTTTTGATCTGGACTTGTGTTTTAGCTGTTTTAGTTAGAGAATTCAGATGTCAGCGTCTTATCCTCTTCAGTGACGGCGATTGGGTCAGGTGATGTATAGTGAACGTGTACTGGAGAATGGGGAGTGGAGAACTTGCAGCAGCGATAGTTGGTATTACTGATCAGTGTGTTTCATCCACTGATGTCCCTTTTGTTTAGTAGTAGTTGATTGGATACCGTAATTTGCTGTTACTCAACAGTTTTGTGCCATGTCTGTTCTGTAACGATGGTGATCGATTTATAGGTTTCGTTGTACGTTCACATTATATGATAATTTGTATTTATGATTGTATTGTGTTAATAATATTTGAAACCAATATTATGTTTGATAGTGGTGATAGATTTTATTACTCTGCCATGAGTTACTAATTGAATTATGATATTAATTATTAAGCTGAAGATATTATATTGAAAGGCGGAAAGCGTACACATCCTGAGACCTGTTTTCTTAAGAAATTGTTGTACCCTTTTGATGCTGGTAAAATTTACTGAAGGGTTGTTTATGGACTGTTGAGTTGACTATTTTTTACTTCCTGCTTTGATATTTTGTCTTTAAGCTGCATGTGTCAAGCCTTTGGTTTCTGTTGTTTGCAATTTCTACCTTACAGCTATGTAACATGGTAATTTCTAGCACCAATTTACTGATTCTTTCCTCTATATTTCAGTGCTCAGGAATCTGGATATTTCAGGTCTGTATGTTTTATGGAAGAAAACACTGGTTTTCAAACAGAGATATAAGTTTTAGCTCTAAGTCCAAAGTTCTCATTCTGCAGATGTAGACAAGAATGTTTAATACAGATGGTGGAAGTCATTTCTTTGGTGTTTGAAAATTATTATCAGGATAAAAAGGTCATGTACAAAACAAGTTTAACTAAGTTGACTGTTGAGTCTATTTCCAACTTCGCACTGGTCTCATTGTGTGGCATTGCACTCATCATAATCAGATAACTTAGTATTCTTCTTTTGTTATATACTTCTATTTACAGTTCAAAGCCCTGGAGATGATGTTGCAGAATATTACCAGCAACAGTCGGAATTGTTGGAAGGTTTTAATGAAATGGATACACTCACAGATCGTGGTTTTCTTCCTGGAATGTCCAAGGTCTACATTCTTGCTCTAGTAAGGCCTTGTTTAGTTCGGGAAAATTTTTGTGTTGGGTTGTCACATCGAATATACGGACATACATTTGAAGTATTAAACATAGTCTAATAACAAAACAAATTACAGATTCCGCTAGGAAACTGCGAGACGAATTTATTAAGACTAATTAATCCGTCATTAGCAAATGTTTACTGTAGCACCATATTGTCAAATCATGGCACAATTAGGCTTAAAAGATTCGTCTCTCAATTTACACGCCATCTGTGTAATTGTTTTTTTTTCCTACATTTAATACTCCATGCATGTGTCCAAACATTCGATGTGACAGCGTGAACATTTTTGTTTTGGGAACTAAACAGGGCCTAACATTAAAAGAAAAAAAACTTCATTTTGCAGATAAAATGTTGAAAGATGCATCTATACTGTTTTCTACCTTAATTTGATCCTATCTGTGCAGGAAGAATGTGAAAAAGTTGCCAGAAGTGAGGCATTAGCCATCCGGTTATCTAATATAGCAAACATGGTTCTTTTTGCTGCAAAAGTTTATGCCTCAATAAGGAGTGGTTCTCTAGCTATAATTGCCTCCACTTTGGATTCTCTACTTGACTTGTTATCAGGTTTTATCTTGTGGTTTACTGCCTTTTCAAAGAAAACATCAAATCCATACAGGTACCCAATTGGTAAAAGACGCATGCAACCTTTGGTGAGTTTCCACACCAATAACTGCCAATTAGGCATAATTTGCCCTGCATGTTCTATGCTTTTATTTCTTGAATTTTTCTATTACTAGAATAAGTCAATCATTTTTGTTGAACTCTGATTTGCTGTAGTATCCATTTATACGTTGTTTAAGAGATAAGAGAGACATAAACTGTATAAATCGTTATGTTTCTTGATCAGTATTCCTCTTATTAACGAACTCTGACACAATCCGTTTGCCAGGGAATACTTGTTTTTGCTTCTGTTATGGCAACGCTTGGCCTTCAAATTATCCTAGAATCTACACGCTCATTGTTTTATGATGTAAGTCTTTTCTTTTCTCTTCTTACCATTCTTTGACTGCTTTTTTCAATACAATTATTTGATTCATATTGATTAGCGTAGTTGGTTTTTCACTTCTCTATTCAATCTAAACCTTCTAGCAGATATTATCAGAATGCCTCATGTTCCATGTGCTTTTGAAAAAAAGTCATTTTCACGTCCCTTTAATGGGGGAAGATTTTCTAAAAAAAAGGCCAACTTGTCCGTTTTCAATTTTGTACATGCCTGTTTGGTACACTTATGATAGTTAATATGTGTGAGTACTCCATTTCGTATCGTTGACAATCTTGCACTTAAACTTAACTAACTGTTAAGCACACCGTAATAAAAATTAGGACAGTAACATAATGATCAGATTAATCAGGTAGCTATTGATTATCTTGTGCTCCAGGGGGATACTTTCCGCTTGACAAAAGAGCAGGAGAAGTGGGTTGTGGATATCATGCTTTCTGTTACATCGGTGAAGCTCCTACTGGTTGTATATTGCCGTTCATTCACCAATGAAATTGTAAAGGCTTATGCACATGATCACTTTTTCGATGTCATCACCTATGTCATTGGGCTTGTGGCAGCACTTCTAGCTAATTATGTTTAAGGCTGTATTGACCCAGTTGGGGCTATTATAGTAAGTATACTAAAGTAGTACTTGCTCTGTATAATTCCTTGTTTATTAGAATTTCACTGAAAGAACTATCATTTCCTAGAATTGTGAGATACACTATAGAATTTGAGTATGTCACGAATTTAATCGGGTAAGACAACTATTTTGGCTATGGAACTGAATGATGCACTAGTGATAAATCTTCTCACATTCGACAATAACTTGAACTTGAATAGGTTTTTATTATCTTTCCTTCTTTGCAGCTGGCGATCTACACAATCAGAACATGGTCAATGACGGTGCTAGAAAACGTCCACTCCTTGGTTGGCCAATCGGCTTCACCAGAGTACCTTCAGAAGCTTACCTACCTGTGCTGGAACCATCACAAGGCTGTCAGGCACATCGACACAGTGCGAGCATATACATTCGGCTCCCACTACTTTGTTGAGGTGGATATTGTTCTGCCATGTGACATGCCCTTGCAGGAAGCGCATGATATCGGCGAGGCTCCGCAAGAGAAGCTGGAGAGCTTGCCCGAGATTGAGCGGGCTTTTGTCCATCTCGACTACGAGTTCACCCACCAGCCTGAGCATGCTCGATCCCATGATACATTATAGCAGTCCGAACTTCAGAGAACCCAAGTTGAAATTATTGAAGCCATCTCAGTTTCACAAATCTGGGAGTAGCCAACATGCTTCGACACATTGCTTATTTCAGATGCGTTGTTTTTTTTTTTTTTGGGTGTGGCTAGGAATCATATCTGTGCCTGTGGGCGTGTAGGGGATGACTGGATGGGTGGCATTGGCAATGTTTGAATCAAATGATTGATGCGATGAGGTGAGATGAGCCAAAATGCTTCGACACATTGTTTTTTTTTTTTTTTTTTTTTTTTTTTTTTTTGTTTTGTGGCTGGGAATCATATCTGTGCCTGTGGGCGTGTAGGGGATGACTGGATGGGTGGCATTGGCAATGTTTGAATCAAATGATTGATGAGATGAGATCTTCAGTGTATGTGCGGTGATTGATGGTGCCTGATCGACCGAGATCTTCAGTATATGTACAGGCCTTGATAACAAGTGCAAAGCAAATCATGCTTTGCAGTTTGCACCATATCCCACTTTAATTCCTGAAAAGCAGTCCAGAGACTCACACCGTTGACGGAGGCGTTCGTTTTGTTAATTTCTTGCACTGTGCTGTCTGCCAATCTACTCATCACAGAAAAGGTTTGAGCGCTCCTCTCCCAGAAAAGCTCAGTGGTCTCGCCGTCACCAGACCGAGTGCGACACACGTTGTGTTGGAGAAAGCTAGTCTAGAATCCGGGGCCCCTCTCCCGGAGACTACACTGCTAGTGCCCGCTGCCCTCCGTCTATTGGTTTCGCATTCTCACTGTAGCTCGAGCGAGACGGCCGTCGTCCGGCCCCGGCCTACCTCTACCTGCGACGGACGCGTCACCTTCATGGGATCAGCGCTCGACGCCGGATCGGCTCCCCCTCCCCTCCCCTCCCCTCCCCTCCCCTGCCTTACCTCCGCGTGGTGGCGCGCGCACGCGTCCCGTACGTACTCCCGTGAAACGGCTACAGGACAACGACGACGCCAGCTCACGAGAAACGAGAAAGGGACATATGATTAATTAAGTAGGAGTATTAACTAGAAGTATTATAAACTTTAAAATAAATTTATTTGATTTCTAAAAATAATCTACATATTTCTTTCTAAAAAAACGTACTCCCTCCGTTCCAAAATATAACAACTTTAGCCCTCAAGATTTGTCCCAAAATATAACAACTTCTTCCCCAACATTCTCTTCTTAACCAATCACAACCCTCCACCATTTACTTTTTACACCTACCCCCACTACTCATCCAATCACAACCCTCCACCATTCACTTATACCTACTTTCTTAATAACTGTGTCCAACTCTAAAACTCCTTATATTCTGAAACGGAGAGAGTACCATTTAGCATACTTACAGAAAATGAGAGAGTAGCCAAAATGAAAAGTTTATTCAAACTCAGCCTTATATAAGAGACAGGTGTCAGCGATAAATTAATTGATGTTTGATGACATCTCTAAGGTCATTCCCAACTCAATAACTAGGATGTTGTCCATAATACTCCCTCCATTTACTTTTGATAGTTATATTTCATCCTGACACACAGACCAATGATAAGTAATTCTACTTATCATCCATTTAAACATGTGGAGTACTCCCTCCATCTACTTTTGATAGTCATATTTCATCTTGGTACACAGACCAAGGATAAGTAATTATACTTATCATCCATTTAAACATGCTACTAGTTATTCCTCGTAAACAAGCGATTCATTAATATTTACATTTTTCGATGCCCATTTAACCAATCTTGTGTAGAAGAATGGAGAGTCATGCATTAAATCCGAAAAAATCATTAAGAGGACAGGTTATTGGATTGAAATATGCCTATCAAAAATAAAATTTTCAGATTTGGAAATATGAATATCAAAAGTAGATGGAAGGAGTACCAGTTATTCCTCGTAAACAAGCGATTCATTAATATTTACATTTCTCGATACCCATGCAGCCAATCTTATGCGGAAGAATGAAGAGTCACGCATTAAATCCGAGAAAGTCATTAAGAGAATAGGTTGTTGAATTGAAATATGACTATCAAAAATAAATTTTTCAGATTTGGAAATATGACTATCAAAAGTAGATGGAGTATTAAATAAGCTGCTACCTAGGATGAAAAATGATATGACAAGTGAATAAATGAGGAAAGAGAAGGAAACCATGTCTTGTATAAGACATGGTTTCTACACAATATCCAAGACATCATGTGAGCTAAGTAGCATTAAATTTAAGTATGGAATAGTGGTGTTTACATTGGAAGAGTAGTGTCTAGTATTAGTTTCTTGATGATGTGGAGTTTATGAAAACTATGTCTTGTGTCTTGGGTTGGGAATGATCTAAGTTCTAATAAAACACACATCACCGGGGCATAATGGGATGCAGCTGGGAGATGTTTTTTCCCCTCTTTTAGGGATGTCCTACCATTTATTGCAATGCTATTTAAATATTTATAATTTTTTTTCACAAAATTTAATAATATATATCGATATGTGATATTTCACTCCACAAATAAACAAGTTTAAATTAACCTATATATGCACGTTGAAAAAAACAAAAACAAATTATTACTCCAAACAAAATATAAGCATCTGCACGTTTACCAAAATGTATTTGTATATCTTTTAAAAAATATAAATAAATGCTTATACTTTTGGAATGGAGTACACTCGTATTGTTCGCAATCATATTTGTTATTTTTCTAAAACTTAATTCTATAGGTCGAATTTAGATTGCATATGTGTTGTGGAGTTATATATCTCACATTAATGATACATGCATGCTGTTATATTTTTTTTTCTAAAAGAACTTTTAATTATTTTAATGCCGTGGAGAAATGAGGGGACATCGGCATGGAGGGTTAAAAGACTCTCCTGCATTTATAACTGCGTATATCGTAATTAATTTAAACATTTTGCTACCTACTCCCTCTGTCAAAAAAAAGTAAACCCTGGGTTTTTTGTCCAACTTTGACTGTCCGTCTTATATGAAATTTTTTCATAATTCGTATTTTTATTGTTGTTGGATGATAAAACATGATTAATATTTTATACGTGACTTGTCTTTTTAATTTTTTTTCATAATTTTTTTAAATAAGACGGACGGTCAAACGTTGGGCACAGAAACCAGTGTTTGTCTTTTTTTTTTGGGACGGAGGAAGTATTTGTTTCCCTATATATGTTTTTCTATTTTTTTGGAGAGAATTATCGTCCCATTTGTCCACAATCATGACGACAGAGTACAGTGTAAGAGGTAGAGTGGCAACTAGCTAGCGAGCCATGGGGTCCTGAGTGTCTGTCTGATCGGTTAGGTACACGTCACCATGCCACGTGTCACAAAGGGATTAGCAACGACAGTGCATCAGCTGCACCTGTAGATCGCAAGGTGCATGAAGACAATCTTCCATATCCTGAATATTCCACGCATGCATTCATGTTTGCATACATAAGATGCACATATATACTAAACAGTACATGACACCTAGTACATGATTTCTTGTGCTAATAACATACTACACACAACTACATGTTCATGATTTAATTTTGTGGCAGCTAGCTGGCTAGCTAATCTATATATGATGCATGCTTACGGCACATTTATATTAATACGAGGATTGAAAAAGAGCTCTCAATGGGATGGAGCCAAATCAAACAAGCAAGCTAGCTAGCTAGAGAGCTCATGTGAAGAGCTAGTCATGAACTCTAGCTATAGCTATAGCTTAGCTAGAGCTAGCTCTCGTCGTCGTCGTCGTCGTCGGAGCCCTTGGATGCCGCGGCGTCGGAGAGCATCTTCTGGATCCGCTGCATCGTCTCCGCCTCGATGTTGCGCTCCGCCCTGTCCTTGTTGTAGGTCTCGAAGAACTCCTTGTTCTCCTTCTCCAGCTCCTTCCATACTGCCGCCACAAAGATCAAAATATATTTTTAGATAATGCAAATGGATTACATCTCCGGCTTCTGTCATAAGATACATAGCCATACAAAGATTAAAATATATGCTCACATGAAATGATATATATGCATATATAATAAGGTGCAACCACTAGCTTGCGAAGAGAATGCGCATACGTGTGTATATATATAATTTGGGAGAGAAACTAGCTAGAGTCTATAGGTAGCACTGCACATGGAGATATATATATGTTCTTGAAGAGAAGTGGGTAAGTAATTAAGTATACCTGTGGAAGTGACGACAGGGTTGATGTTGGCATGCTTCTCCAGGGCCTCCATGCACTCCTCCTTGTTCAGGTTGAAGCAAATGCACTTCTCTATCAGGTGGTGAACCTGCAGTAATTAATTAACAATGGCAGCTTAATTGTAAACACCTCTCATTTGATGCACACCCAGCTAACACACACAACCCAGAAGAAACTCATACTAGCATATAAGTATATATACCATTCTGATGTACGAAGCTGAGGATGATGAGTCTCCCATGGCGCCTAGCTTGAGAGAGACAGAGATCACCACTAATTAAGCTCCAGCTAGCTTAGCTAATGGCAGAGTAGTACTGGACTACTGGATCAGCAAGCTCCAGGAGACAGGAGCCGCTGCTGATTCAGCTCACTGTTAGCTAGCTAGCTAGGTAGCTCACTGCTTACTTATCTATCTAAACTATGGGGGAAGAAGAAGAAGAAGAAGAGAGGAGATAGAAATAGGGGAGGTGGTGGGGGAGGAGGGGGACGTGGAGGCATGTCACGTGGGCGCCGCCGCCCCATTGGCGGAGAGGTGGCCGCGGAGATTTTTCCGGGCCCGCGCCTCGCTCTCAGTCTCAGCAGCAGCGGCCTTGCTTTTTCTGTGGCTGGAGCGTGCACTAGCTTTAGCTTGGGCGGCTTTGCTAGCTAGCTTTGGGCCATTTTGGCGTATCGTTGCTACTCGATCGTCCCTAGCTACTTGGAGACGTTGATGAGTAGTCGTTGCTACTTGTTGGACGTTCGTGAGTGGTAGTCTCATTGCTACTTGCTTCTCTTTTATTTAATTAACCTCAGTCATAATCATGCTGTGGCGGAGCCAGCGACGTACGCCGTTGAGTCTGGTTTGATCGATGAAGATCGAACATCTCTACCCGGTGGCCGCTCGACCTGTCAAGTAGTGGCTCCGCCACTGATCATGCATATGTGTCTGAAAAGCCATATATGTTATTTTTGTAATTGTTCCTAAGTAATAGATGCAATATTTTTGCCCTCTAGCTATATCGAAAGATGTATATAGTCATCTGAACATATTAGCCGCTAACAAGCCACAAAAGATGCTAATAGTAGCTAAAGTCTAGCTAGCTAAAGGCTTACTATGTGTAGACATGAGGTTATTCGAAAGGAGAGGCAACATATATTAGTTAGTAATTAATTAAGACCGTTCGTATTACTATGAAAATTAGTCTAGAGTTGTATTTAATATATATATTTATATACTCCTATATAGTATTTATTAGTGAGTCTTGAGAGATCTAGAATTGAGATGCGCATCGAACACACCCTCTCCAATTAAAAAGCATATTTGAAAGGTTTAATAATGTATTGATCCAAATTTATGTACAATAGTATTTATTCAGCCACCGCCCACCAGGTTACGTTCGTAACGTTATTCTTATGCATCATCACTTCATGGATTGCGCACACACGATCATATCACCTTTAAACGGCCGGCTCAAACACAAAGCTTTACTACTATACAGAGCTTACTCTTAGAGTATATACTATTCCCTCCGTTTCATATTATAAGTGCTTGACTTTTTTTAGTCAAAGTTTATTTTGTTTAACCAAGTTTATAGAAAAAATTAGCAACATCTTCTATGTCAAATCAGTTTCATTAAATTTAACATTAAATATATATTTTAATAATATATTTATGTTGTATTGAAAATATTAGCATATTCTACTACAAACTTAAAAATTTAACTTAAAAAAGTTAAACGATTTTATAATCTGGAAAGGAGGAAGTAACAGTCAAGCTGTCAAGAGCTAAGGGCTCAAGGCAAGTGACTATGAGGTAAATAGCGATTGATCGCACTTTTTTAGGACTATAGCACAGCAACTATGCCACATATGCCCCCTCCACATAAGAACCCAAACGGCCAAACTATCCCCTCAAATGTAGATAGCATGGCCCACTGCACAGTGACCAAAGATCATCTCTCATGAAATCGCGTGGTGGCCCATCTGACCAAAATCTAGCCAACCCGCGTTCTGTCCGAAATTAAGCACGCGGGCCCAAAGGCGTATCAGGCCCACGCAAGTCACGCGACGAGTATACAACGTAAACCGTTGATCGAGCGATCAGCCGATCACGACCGTTGAATCGAAGGAGGCAGCAATAACGTACAACAACGTACCGGACCAGGAAGCAGACTGCAGTTTTTGTAAGCTCGTCCCAAAATATCATCATTTTTAGGGTTTTACAGGTGATTAGGAAAATTGATTGAGTAAATTAAAGCCTCTCATCGTTCCCTTTACAACTGATAAGCCATATAAAAATACACGAAATATCAAAAAATAGTTTACAAGTAAAATTTTTATACCTAGGATCTTAATTATTTAAAAGGTAATACTGAAAAATAAACTATAATTAAAAAAAATCTTAAATTAACTTTAAAGTTTAAATTTTGGTTGTGACTCATAATGTAACGAGCAATTAATGATGAAGCAATAAAATGGTTGTGATTATAGGTGATATAAGAAATTTGGTCAGGAAGTTAAATAAGATGAAGAAGTAGTTGGAGAAGTTACATATAGACTAATTTTATTTCAAGGTTGCATATTAATTATTTTGAAATGGAGAGAGAGCATAAATTAATTTACGCCTGGTTCTCTTGTGATGCATGCATGCATGTCATTGTTGAGCAATTGGGCTAGCTCCCGTAAGATTGCGCACCCCAATGGATACAAACGCTATAAATGCACCGAGGTCGATAGTAAAAGAATTTGAAGATAGTGGATGTTCAGAAAAAACCAAAAGAATTTGGGCGACAGTGGATGTCCAGATAGAAACGCGTATGTATGTTCGTTCAGTATGTGGATTTTTTCGTGTTAAATACTTAAATGTCTTGTAAAATCATGTAAAGATAAAATTTTTTATATATTTACACATCAAAAATTAAAAATCAAAGTTGGAATACCACACCAATAAAATAAAAGACGGAGGAACTAAAATGGGTGTGGTAACTCTACAGTGTAGCATTTCGTTTTGTACAAGTGCCAGACGCTTTAGCGTTTGGCAAATAAATTTCCTTTCAATCTAAGTTCTAATATAATATTATTACTTCGGAGAAAATTATATAAAAACTAGGGAGATGTGACATTTAGATAACATAATTTACATATCCCACAAATAAAATATAACAATTAATCTTAGCTAAAACGTAAAATAAAATTCCACAGCAACTCTAAAAAAAATCACAGTAAAATTAACGCATCGTGACAACAGCAAACTGATCAGCCCTGTTTAAAGTAGCAAGCACACGGACTAGCTCTACTCCTCTTCGATAAAGAAGAAAGAAATATCGCCCGAAATGGGTGATGAAAACGTGTTAATTGTTTCTAAAGGATCGATATCGATGGAAACGTGTGAAAGAATGTGCAGCTGTGAATTTGCATGGTTAGAATTAGTTAGAAGAGAGCTGATCCAGGCATCCAGCAAGGCCTGGGTGATTGCTGGTAGTACTGTCCAAAGCAAAGCAAGAAAAGTAATCCACGCTTCACTTCATCGCATCCGAGAAGCAGCTCCCTGACGTGCTCGATCATGTGACGTGGCGCGAGCTAATTGGCCGTCTAAATTGCATAGGGTGATCGAGCAAATGACTGACCAGCTAGTGGCAGTAACGTCGTACGGGACAAATGTACCACCCATCGATCGCTGGCGCTGCTGCTGGAGAATCTTTCGTCACCCACGATTGGCTTCCCAATATTGAATTAATCTGATGTACAATTATTTTTTTTATAAACGCATGTAATAAATATATATATTTAGCTATATCGATCAATATACACCATTATAATAATATTATAATGAGTGAAGTACATGGGCGGTCCCTAAACTTGTACCGGTATGTCATCTAGGTCTCTGAACTCCTAAAATATATTTTTAGGTCCCTGAACTTGCCATGTGTGTTATATAGGTCCAAACAGGTTCTAACCCACTCGATGTGCTGACGTGGCAATGCCACGGTGACGCCTACGTGTCAGTGAAATCCACATGTCAAGCATATATAAAAAATAAAATTAAAAACCATATTTTCTCCTCTTAGGTAGACAGAAAAAAAGATAAAAATTTTAAGGTAGAGAGGAGAAAATATATTTTTCTAATTATATTTTTTTCTATGTGAGTGACACGTGGGTCCAACTAACACGTATGAACTATCGTGGTATGCCACATCAGCGCATGGAAGGGGTTGGAGCTCGTTTGGACCGGTATGACACCCCAAAACAAGTTCAAGGATCTGAAAATGTATTTTGAGAGTTTAGGGATCTAGATGACACATCCACACAAGTTTAGGGACCGCTCGTGCACTTCACTCTATTATAATCTAGACGCATCACGATTAAATGGCATGTGTCTTTTTTTTTCTCCTGACGCGGTAAGATAATAGATATGATCAATTAGATCAAATAATTTTACTCCTTTTGTGGTGCAATAAAGCTATCTCCAAGAGGAAAACAAGACTCTCTGTGTACTGCAATTTTCCCAAATCACTGTATATAGCTTGGCAGGTCTGAACCAGTGTACCTGTTGGACGACTTGGATCGAAACATAAATCTCTATGAATACCATACTAATAATGTCTGATTTAGACCTAACCTGCTAACCAAGAAGAATATATATCTCACCAACCAAGAAGAATATATATCTCACCATTTTGTTTCTGATATGAAAATGAAATGCACAGGGAGGGACAGGAAACACAAAACAAAACTATCCAACATTCTGGGGAGACAAGTAACTTCAGCATTAGCATCATGCAACAGTCATACTGACAGGAACCCACAAATAAAAAAAGACATGTAACGGATTTAGCAATAGGTAGCCCAAATGGATTTCTCACCAACTCTGGAAATCGGTTTTGCTAAAAATATGACATCACATTTTTTTTATTTAATTTCGATCGGTTTCTATCTTGCTTGTCTTCTCTTTTCAAGTAGTTAATCAATTACTTTTAATCGTGTTTTTATATATAATATGAATTAAGAGATTTATAATTTATTTACAATGTAAATATAGGTAATTAATTTGTAGTATAAAAATGATTTGACTGTTTTTTTTTCCAATACGGCACCTAGTTCCTTCGTAAATCATGTTATACTTTTTTTTTATAGAGAAGTGTATTATTTTACCCGACCTCTACATTAAATCAGATATATGCATCCTTTTTAAATAGTAACTTAGCTCATCAAACAACCCAATTTGAAATTCATAGCCTTTTCAAATAGGAACTTCGCGCCTTAAATATCCCAATCTAAAATTCACTCATGTGAAAGTTTGAACTCAATATCTTGGGAGGTGCTACTCAGCACACCACAACCACTATACTACAACCCAATCTATAAATCATGTTACATGATATTCGTTTAATTTAATCCATTAATTTCCTCTCTACCTACCTGTATGTGTGCTAGCTGATGTACCTGATCCTTGCGTATCC